TGCAGGCATCATGGCCGACAAAGACAACGACAACGACAATCTGCGGACAGCATCCCTGTACATCAACAACCAGCTGCTCTCCCGCGGTCTCTTGAGCGATGGCCAGAGCATCGACTTTGCCCGCCCTGAGCGGAATCCAGGTGGCGTTGACGCCACCATGGGAAGGGTCATGAGCATCATCAACGACCTCATTCTGCGACGCGACGTAAGCTGCTCGTCCCCTTCCACCATCCATTCATCCCATGCTGTGGAAAAGACCCCCCTCCCCAAGCTAACCCTCGATGCGCAGCGCGACGCCCAAAACCGCGAGGCCCTTTCGACGACCCTCCGCACCCTCCGCGCCGAGAACCTCAAGGCAACAAACGACGTCAGCCGCCTCACCGAGAAGCACGCAGACGCCAGGCGCAAGCTCGAAATCGCCGAGGCCTCTGAAACAGCAGCCCGCACCCAGCTCAAGAGCGCCGATGCCGCCGTTCGCGGCCTCAAGGAGGAAATGGCCCGCGCCAAGGTCCTCGTCGCCCAGACGCGCGCCTCCTGTGCGACCGAGGTGCGGCGGCGCGACCGCCAGATCGACGGCCTCAAGAAGCAGCTCAGCGATGCCGGCCGTGCGCGCGGCAGCAGCAAGAGCTCGGTCGTGACCGTCATCAGCGTTGTGGGCGATGTCGGCGCTGAGGAGAGGCCGCGCGCTGGTGCCACGCCGGGGGCTGCCGACCTGCGCAGCGAGACGAACCAGTTCCTCACCGAGCTGGCGAGGAGCCTGAGTGAAGAGAACACGGCTTTGCTCGCCGTCGTGCGCCGGACGCTGGGCAAGCTCAAGGATATGAGCGGCTGGGACAAGGGCGCGAGCCAGGGCGACGGCCACGTGGTCGCGCTGCAGACCAAATGCGACGAGATGGAGAGGGAGCTTGAAGCCATTCTCGAACACCTCCAGACCATTCTCACGAACCCTTCCTTCGTCCCGATCGAAGAGGTCGAGTCACGCGAGGAGGAGATCAACAGGCTGAAGGAGGGGTGGGTCAAGATGGAGAGTCGCTGGCAGGAAGCCGTCCACCTCATGAACGGTTGGCGCAAGCGGCTGGTCGCCAATGGCAGGGGCGTCAACATGGAGGAACTCGACATGGGCCTTCGTCTGAGTCCCATCAGGGTACGGCAGACACGCCACTACAAGCCCGAGCACGAGCCTGAGCCGGTGGCCGACTCTCATCTTTCCTTCATTCAAGAAGAATGTACCCAGGATCTGGACGCCTTGCGTTCGTCACCGGAACCAGAACCGGTGGAAGAAGAGGAGTCTCTCGACCTGGAACCGGCGCACGAGTACGATATCGGAGTTCAGGACGAGCATGACTATGCATCCGAGTCGAGCATTTTCGAAGACGAGATTGATGATGTCGATGTCGATGTTTCCGAGCCCAACATTGAGATCCTGCAGCAGTCGACCGCCTTCCTCAGCTCCTCGCCGCTGCCACCACGACCACAGTTGAGTCCACTCAAGGAGACGAACACGGCTGGCAATCGCGGCGCACATGAAGCCAAGTCGAGCCACGAGAAGCACAGCGATTACTCAATGAAGGCCGAAGAGAAGGCATGGGACCTGGGCGACGACTCAAACGTGCCCGAACCATCATCCCATCGCTTCCGCCTGCCACGCTCGCCCCTCAAGGCCATGCGCGCCGTCACACCCGAAATCGAGGACAAGCCTCGAACGGCATCGGCCGCTTCTGACGCGTCCATGGACGAACTTGCCCTCGACCAGCCGCCTTCGGCGCCGCCCTCGCCCTCGCCCCTCCCCCGGGAGCGCACCCGCGACCTGCGCAAGCCCGCCAAGGTGGTGGTCCAGAAGAAGCCCGAGACCAAGGCGGACCCCCCCGCCAAACCCGCCCCGCCTCGCACGAATGGCAGACGCCACATCGTCTCCGACAAGAGCGTCGACGAGAACCTCCCGCCCGCCCCGGCCATCCAACAGACGCCGCGCACCCGCCGAGACATCTCTCCTCGCCACGTCTCCTCACGTCTCCCGCTCCCCCGGCCCGCGAACCCACCTCCGCAGCAGAGCCCCCTGACCATGGCCACCATAGCCGCCAAGCTCGCCGCGTCCGAGCGCGAGGCCGACGCCGCGCGCGTGCGGGCCAAGCTCAAGGCCGCCAGGGGCAACAAGCGCAGCGCCGGCGCCATTTCGGCGTCGTCCGCCCCGGCGCAGCTCCAGCCTCCGTCCACGGCGACGGGAGCCGCGGAGAGCGATCAGCACCAGCCGCCGACGATCGCCGAGGTGCCGGGCAACGAGGACGTGGACCCCGTGAAGCGGTCTGTGCAGGGCAGGGACGAGGAGCAGCCGCAGCCGCTGCCCAAGCGGAAGAGGGATCGGCGCGTCAGCAAGGTCGCGTCGAGGCGGCGCAGCACGCTGAACCCGTTTGAGATGGAGAGCTTGATCTCGGGCAACCTGGGCGCTCCCTCGCCGGGGGCGTGATCTGGAAGCGCGGCGTCGGCTGTGAGGATGTGGACGGAGATGATACCCCCTGGTGGATCGGGACTCGGGACGGGCGTTTGGAGTTGGGGCCATGCCATGACTCGATTGCTATGGTTGCACATGAGTAGTGTGCTTTTGACGAGGTTCATTTATGCCTTGGAATCCCTCTGCTTGTAGAGGTCATCTAGAATCCAGTCCTTCTGTTTATGATTCATGCCGGTGCTTCTGCGATGCCGTCTCATGCTAGATGCCCTTCTACCCTTGACGCGAACCTCCATCTCTTCGAGTGATTGGCTCGCCGCTAGTCTAGAGAATATGGGAGATGAAGCGACCTGATATCCTGCCTGGCAGAACACCTTTCAGGCCTTGTCCCGATCCTCCAATGGAACAGGCCACGGCGAAACCTCCCTGTGATGCAATATCTCCACCCCTTTCTCCTCGCCAAACGCCCGCATATGATCCAGCAGGGCCCCCATGAGGCCCTGTACGTAAAACTTCTTCACCTTACCCTGCCGTGCCACAGCCTCAGTAATGACGGCAATGGGCCTTGACTCGCAAAGGCTCGACGCCAGCACCAGCGTCTCGAGGTTCGGAAACGTCTCAATGAATTTGACAAGCAGCTTCGCCTGGTCACGCTCCGGCAGGCGCCGCGGGGCCCCGGCCGGGGACTGCACGACGTCTGGCAGGGAGAGGTTGGTGTCGAGATTAAAGTCGAAGAGACCCAGTGTCCGGACGCTCTCGACACCGTAAAGCCAGGGGATCTGCTCGAGAAACGCTTGCGCGGGTTGGTCGACACTGCCCCAGTCGGGGGACCTGTGGTCGGGGAAACAGAGGGCCAGCTCGCGGAGGGAGCCGGACTGGATGGCTGGTTCGAGAATTGCCTGTAGTGCTGGTGTAATGGAGACACCTTCGACCCAGAAGCGCTGCAGGTGGTCGTGACTGGCGCTGGGGTCGTCTGAAGGCGGATTATTTCCGTAGTCGATCAGCAAGCTGTGAGGGAACGGCACGGGCTGCATCGCTGGCGCCAGAGTCCGGGATTCAAAGGCTCGCAACGAGCGCAACGGCGGGAAGATGCGGCGGTTCGTGTGATCGGTGATGGGGCCAAGTATTTGGTGTTCTACGACGACGGCTTCTAGTTTCGACCACATGCTCCAGAACTCGCCTTCGTCGAATTCCTGATTATTACGCAGAAGATAGTTGGTAAGATGAAGTTGTTGGAGGTTAGGAGTGGATTTCGCAACTCCAATCTGGGCAACAGTCAGTTTTTGAAAGGTTCCAAGTTCGTATGGCTGATTAAGGGATTACCACATGCAGCTCTCTTGGGATGCTGTGTTTCTCATGCTCTCCGGAGAGTCGCAAATATTTCAGTTTGCTGAGAAGGGGTATGGTCCTGAGATACGGGGCTTGGTCTATCCAGAGGGATTCGAGGGTGTCTTTCGCGTGCTCCAATATTGCGACGACCAAGTTCAACTCTCTCCTGTTCTCGAGCGCAGAAAAGGAAAGTCTCAGTGATACAAGCCGGTTCAGGATGCGATGGTCGCTTGGAAGTTCTGGTATAAAACTGTGGACGAGACCAAGCTCCAAATGCTCCGCAGGGAGTGCAGACTGGAGCAGAGCATGCCATTTTGCCTGGGTGAGCTGCAAGGCTCTCGCACGGGGAATGATGAGAGATCGTGCACCGCTGGCAGACCGCTTAGATATCTTGCGAAGGAACTCTAGAGACGGTGAGGCAGGTAAATTGCTGGGGAAGCTGATACGCCTCCAGAGACGAGTGCGAGATGCGAAGAAGTGGTCCCACCTCTTGCAAACGCCATGAACCCAGCTATGTAGCGTCAGACTTCAGACTCTTCATCGGGGTCGCACGATGACCGAGGCCAAACGCACCAGCGACGAAACGTACCAGAGCTCGCGGAAGTCGAGATGGGAGAATATATTGTCGACAATCTCTAAGGGCAATTCCATAGGGTCCTTGCGCCCATATCGTTTCTGCAAGGGCGCTCGAGCATCAAACAGTTGCTGCGACGTGTAAGTCTTGTATACCGTCAAGGGGTGAGCGGTGAACGAGATGTACCTTGAGTTTTGCGCTACCACCATGGCCCTCCTTGGCTCCAACCTCGATGCCGGCGTTCCAAAAGGCCAAGGCGAGCTCGGGCTCCTTCTCCAGCCTATACACCTTGCCCATGCGAAGATAGCCCTGACCGTCGTCAGCAAGTTCGGCACTGAGAACGATTTGGGGGGAGGGGAAGGCTATGCAACCTCGAGTGACCTCGGCGCTATCTCCAGCAACCATGCGGCATCCTTCTTGGCCAGTTCAAGCCGGCCCATTTTCTCAAAGACGGCGGCGCGATAGTCCAAAGCCTGGATGTGTGAAGGCTCGTGGCACTTTTTGTATTTTCTGGACGCATCGCAGGAGCATTTATGCATGGCCTCCTTGAAGATAGATGCACCATCTTGGGCGACCTTCTCAAAGTTCTTACATTTGCATCGTTCACGCCGGCCTCCGCGGTTGCAGGAACAAGCGTTGGCAACAAGGGTGAAGTGCTCGATTGCCGTCTTATACTGGCCCTCTGCATATGCCTGACGTCCCCTGGGAATGGATGCTTCTCCCGATGACACGCGGGGAGGTCGTGGCGTTGTCATTACTGTATGTGCGTCCAGCCGCACGAAAATCGATGGTCGTGTCGCGTCACGGCGCGACGGCGGGTGAGAGGCAGGTGAAGATCACACAATGCGTGTTGCACGGTCAAGACATGGTTTCAACACTGTATGGGTCTGCGGCCTGACGTTCTTGCCAGCACTTGAATGACACAACGACCCCCCCTCCCCGCCCCCTTCCTTCTACATCAAGTCATCCATCTACATCAACTTCGTCAAACTCAGCCGTCTACCAGCTTCCATCTCCCAATGATTCCTTCAAATGCCCCGCCTCCGATCGTCTTCAGCGGCGCCTCCACAGCCAGCCGCTCCCATACGAAGCTCGTCCCAATGATGCCCAGGATTGTCTTGAACTCCATCGGCTCTCCTTCACCCACGTCCAGGAAGGTACGGTCTCCCTTGGCAATCAGGCTCGCATTCGTCCACTCGCCCACGGGGAACGTGTAATTCAGCGCGTACAAATTGTCTCCCGACCAAGCCATGACCGAGTCGACTGTGCCGTTCCCGTACCACAGTGCGCTGTCACCTCCAGTAAAGATCGGGCCCTTGGCATCAGACGTCGGCTTGATCGAGAACGACATGGTGTAGTTGCGGCCCTTGGAAGACAAAGGCGTCGTGACCTCGCATCCCTCTTGCAAGATGATGCCCTCGTCGGTGCTGCCGCAGCTCGAAGCCGCATGGTATCTGTTCCCTGACACATCCTTGAACTTGCCCTCGCATCCGCGTCCCGTCGCAAAGTCGTATTCCAGGATCGTCGGCCCCTGGCTGGGGATTCTTCGATCCAGGCTCTGATCCGGCACGAACGGCTGCAGCGCCTCGAACAAGCCCAGATACTCCTCCTCCATTAGCTCGCCACCCCATTGCTTGTCAGCGAGAGCAGGCAACCCGTCCCTCCAGGCCCAGTACGCCTCCAGCACGGTCGTGCCGTTGGGGCCGTAGTCAAACCACTGCGGTGCGATATGGCCCTCGACCATCGCCTCCTCTCGGGCCGCATTGTTCGTCGTGTTTGTCGAGTCGAAAACGTATGGTCCAAATGGCTTTCCGCCTGGCGCGCCTCGGAAGATGTACGTCTGATTCAGTTGCTGACCGTACCACTGAGACCATTTGCCGACAATGTAGATCGCATCAGCCGAGTTGAGCACAGTGTAGTTGTTTGCTAGCCAGTCGAAAACCGGGTTGCCCTCCCAAGGCGCCCAATGCTGGACGGAGACATCCGTATCAACATGGCCGCCGTCGGACGGCGGGAACGTGCCCCAGAGACGGACCTGCTTTCCCGATTTTTCCTTGATGAACTTATTCAACTCGTTGCAGAAGAGCGTATACTCATCAGCGAGCTCACTGTGCATCGTCAGTCTAATTCTCCGAAATCAAGAGGTCGACAGCCGTGACTCACTCTTCCGTGAGCGAGTTGTCGCGGTACTCATCAGCACCGATATGGACTACTTTGCTCTGGAACCACGGGAGGAAGACGTCCCACACCTCTTTCATCACAGGAATGGTATCTGGGTGCGACACATTCAGCAAACTGTAGTCGGAGGTCATGCCAATCTCAGGCTTCCACTGCGAGAAGACAAGCGCGTGGCCCGGCGCCTCAATCTCAGGCAGGATAGTTACACCCCTGGCGGCGCATCTTGTCTGAATGTCATCCCAAACCTCGCGCGTGTATGACTCGTTCTGGCGTCTGTTGAGGCCCTCGACTCTGGGGTCGTCGGAGAAGAGACGAAACGCTGCATACAGGTCCATCTGGCGTTCGTACGAGTATATCGCAGCATTATTGTAGAGATTGTCGCTTAGATGGGCCTGGAGAGTGTTCTGTTTGAAGAAGGACATGTACGAGCACATCTCAATCAAGAAGTCGGCCGGGAACCAGTGTCTGGCCATATCAAGCTGTACCAAACTCTCAGCAACCTTGCGAGGTACAATTACTCCAGGGACTGTGCCAACTCACCATCATGCCTCTTTCGTGCCATCCGGGCGCATCATGAGCCTGGCCGAGGGGCAGAGCTCCTTTGTGCAGCAGCAGCTGCTGCACGATGGTGCGAGTGCCCCACCAGACACCGAGCGGGCTCGCGCCCGTAATGGTGATGCCCTCCTCTGCAGTGATTTCGAGTGAATAGCCCTCCGAAGTTTGGCGGCCGGCCACATCCAGATAGTCACTCTGGTTCCCGAGCGTCAGAAAAATGGCATCGGCGCCAGCCGATGCAGCCGAACCGACTTTCACAACGACCTTGAAATTAAGCACCGACACCAGATCCTCCGCAAAGGTTCCTGCAAAGTCGAGCAGCGTTGGCGGAATCAAGGTCAGGCCGTCGGTGTCGACGGCATCGGCATTCTTCTCGTCAACGATGATGGTGGCGATTGTCGAGAAATTAAGACTGCCATCACTCGAGAGCTCAAAGGACACAGTCGGGATACCGGCGAGGGTGGCTGCCGAAGCAGCACTGGCAAGTGCCACGGCAGATATAAAGAACAGCAGCATCTCGAAGAGTTGGTTGAGTCTGGTACTGCTCTAGCCGGGCCTCCGCAGCTCCCCAAACAGCTGGGCCGCATCGCCTCTATTATAAGATACACATCAACTACCTCATCGCAACCTCGTTTCATCCACCTCGGCGACGGTTGATTCGGTTTCGCATGCGATTCAGCAATACCGCATCGCTGAGAGCTTCTCCTCAGTACACAAGCGGGGCACACGACGTAGCGATGCGGGGTCGACGATGCAATCAATCTTGCTTGGCCCGGCAGGTCTCATATCCAGCCCGCCAACAGACCCCCGGGATCCCCCTTTCGCCCTCTTAGCCGACGGGCGCTTCCCAGAGTCAATTGCCATGGTAACGTTGCACCGAGATGCTCGATGGACGGAAAAGAAAAGGTCTTCAGCGCAGGGATGTCTCCCCTTCCAGGGGCATGGGTCCGGCGCCGGACAGCGGGGGAAGATCGGCGGTCGTATTGGGGCCGCGATAACACGCGCCGAGATGGCCTTCCCCTCATCGGACGACAAGACTATGTACGGTCCCTCACCCGTGCGGGTATTGACTTCAGTCACACCCGATGATCTAGTCCAGGGCATCGGTTATGGAGCGTGTACCATTGGCGAGGAAAGAGCCTGGGATAGTACGCGTTTGCCCCAGCTTTGCTACCACCTACCGGAGTCGGTCCAGTTGGTTCGTGAGCCAACTGACTGCGTCGTCGGGTATCAAAATCTGCGGGGATTGGGATTGCTCTTGGTATATAGGAGGTCACGTTGTTACCTGACGATCACGGTATCGCTCCGTAACGTCACCTGCCGAGACGTCGATACCATGAGCATGACGCGACCTTTGGGCTCACTTGGCCGCACTTGGCCGCAAATCTCTGGTTCATCCATACTTTTACATCATCACTGGATTCAGATGCTTGTAGTTGAGCATCCATTGTGTTTGGAGCTTGCTGGGCGACAATCAGTCAGACCAAGAGTGGAGCACCAGATGCGTAGGCTGCAGCCTCATAATCTCTAATATTATACAAGGCCAGTGGTGCGTGGTTCACTATACTGATGCGGCTTTGATTCTTGAGTATCTACATAGCATCAGGCCAAATCTTACTCAAAACCAAAAGAGACAGAGTTAGCATCCAAACTCTCATCAATTCTTCGAAGCAGAACATCTGAATACCAGACGTGCGCGTCTGGTGGCGGGGTGGTGCTCGTCCGTCCGGGTGCAGGGCAGCTGCCTACGTGTAAGGATGGATTCGTGCTCTACCTAGAACCAGGGGCCGGGTCGCTTGTGACTTTCTTTGCGCAATTTGCTACCGATTCTTGGGCCTGGGCTATTCGGATAGCCTCACGACCACCAACATCGCGGAGGTGAGCGTGGGGAAAGCCTCAAATTCAACAGAATCCCAACGCCCCTCAAGATCTTTGTTTCGGCACCCCAGACGGAGACGATTTTTTTGCGTTGTGAAAGGTGCGCGATGACAGACTGGTGCGACTCCGCGGTTCTTGCGTGATAGACTGACCAACAAACATGTTGGCTGCATGGTCTGTTGTCTCTCGCGACGTCACGGCAGACCCTCTCGCACTGTCGCTATCTGGACAATCATACTTTGATTCCCCACGAAGCAGCATTTACAACGTTCATCGTGATTTTCAGCAGTATCGGAGGCTTGATCGAGGCGACGGGGTGGTCATCAGCGCCAGCGGAGACAGTATCGGTTGGGCGGACGATGAATCGCTTGCCATGAGGAAGCTGAATTGCCGCGATAAAAATGGATCGCGGGTAGCACATAGATCGCACATCGTCTGGCGACACACCCATCCGATCAGAGGTTACCGGAGAGCGTGGCTGGGGCATATGTCGGATCGCCTCTGTCATACACTTCAGGAACCGGACGCCACAGACGAGGCACCAAAACGAGACCAAGAAGGATCACCAAAGCCACATACACCCGCCCCCAGTTCCACCAAGCACTCCCCCATGATATGGACCTTTGCCCAAATGCGGCAGCAGTTCCTGTCCAATTTGGAGCCCGAGCGAGACATACGCAACTTGGTTCGCATCACACCCTCTCAAGCCTCGATTTATACACCCGCATATCTATCTTGAGCTCGACCACGGCCTCGACAGCCTTCCCCCACAACATTTCTCTAACGAACGACCCGACGACTACCTACCTTACTTTCCCTTATCCCCACCCCGCGCCTGTCTGGCCCATGGCCTTCCGCTTACGGTACACAGCCCCGCCTACCGCGCCAAGCAGCCGCGTCCGCGCGGGCCACTCGTCCACTCACGCCACGCCCCAAGACACCCTCGTCGCCCCCCAAAAATAGGCATACGCTAGAACACCCGCGGCAGCGCGGCTCGGGGGCACGGATCTCAGACACCATCGTGCGCTGCCTTGGTAGGTGGGGTTGGCCCCTCAGTCAGAACCCTTTCATCCACCCAACCACCCACTACCCATGTGCATCACCCCCCCCTTGCTCTGTGTCCATCGCTCGGCCGAAGGAGAGACAAGGGGGAGGAAGCGAAGCAGGAAAAAACCCAAAGGAAAAAAAAAGACCGACATTCGTCACGCCTGTTTCTCCCGCCCGCATTTAGATTAGGTGACAGCTGACAAGCCCTTCTCGTCGGGAACGCTAAACCGCTTTGCACCCTCGGTCAGAGAACCGAGTCGCTCGAAAGAGCAAAAGCTGCTGTGAACTGCAACAACTACGCATCTTGGACATGTCTCAAGGGCCCACGCCCACTCACACTCACACTCACACACACGTACACGCAGCGAATTGCGGCAATCGCTAAGTTTGGCGAATGTATGGCTTCCTGCCACCCGCTTCCCGCCCACCCAGAGTTCGTCTTGACGATCGGGCATCGCCCGTCTGGAGACCTGGTCCGCTCTCGTCCTGTCCCTTCCCCCCCTGCCCTGCGGGGGGGCCAAGAATCAAAATACCGTCGTGGGAGTTTCGAGGCCCCCCTCTGATGGATCCGTGCTAGCGAGTGCGATGTTGGTCAGGAAAGTGGACAGTGGACAAGAGAAATGCCCCTCCCAGGGCCGGAAGAACGGCCCTCTTCCTTCGAGATCGCCGAGCTCCATCTCATTGGACCCCAGTCCCGGGTCGGCGACCGTTGCCAAGTAGGGCACGACCTACAGCTTGCGGCCCGGAAGGAGCCGAGTCTGCCTGGCCGTCACCACATGCCATTCATTGGCGGGACTCGCCAGTCTGGACAACCCAAAAGAAATCACATGTCGCCGTTGACTCACAGCACATACACGAGGTCAAGCAGTGCAGCCAATGGTGTGGGAGGAGAAACAGAACGCTGTGTTTTGAGAGAAGAGTATCACAATGTCTATCGCCCACGCCATCTAGTATCGCCGTCTTGAGTCGCTATGCGCCGATCCTCCCGCCCTACACCAGCTCCATTTCCCGCAGGATGATAGCCAAATCGAAGCCGGCCCCGATGCTTCTTCCGCCCTGCACTTCCTCCTGCACATGGCAGAATGAGTGAAGATTCGACAATGCCGGATTGTGTCGTCTTGATTGGAGAAAAGGGGAGAGATCCAGAAGCCCCCAATAAAAAGCAAAATAGGTCAAAAAGCATTGACCGACTGAGAAGGTCGCTGCGGAAGCGTCCTGCGAAGCAACCCGGTTGCTACCGATGACTTCCAAAGCAGATTGTGTGACCCCATCCTCCGGTTCGTTGCAATCCCTGCTGCCAGAACAGAGTCGACTCTGGGACTTGCCCTCTGAAGTAGTACATGCCTGATGCAAAGATAACAAGAGAGCAACATCAAGAAGAAGAAAAATGACGAAATGGAAATGATTGAAGAGAAGGAAAACGAAAAAAAAAAATTGAAAACTCATCAGGAAGCCGTGGCCCACAACGCTCGTGCCGCTCATTCCCAAAGCATGTCCAAAACGCCAGACGATCCCCTTCGTCCTGCCCAATGCACCAACTCCCTTACAATACAGGCCCGTGTCGGCAAGAGCCGAAGCATGTTGGCAGAAGGCCCAAACATGCGCGGAGAAGAAGATAAGAAAACGGGCTGCGAAGCCGGATATATGAAGGGAATTGAAGGGTCGAGGACCAAACGAACCGGAAAACGCACACGGGCTCGCCCCCAGATGTGAATCGCCCCAGAGACAATCGTTGAAGGAGAAATGATGCGAGCAACCAACTCCGATAAATCAAATCCTTTCGAACCAATCGGAAGGAGAGCAGAAACCCAAGCAGCATGCCAAACGCCTTGCAAAAGAGGAGAAGAGGTGGGTATCGAGCAGAAGCAGCGGTTCAACGTAGCCGTCGGGGGTGCAACTGTTCGTGTTTCGTCGTTGAGTGTTGTAGGGAGGCCGTGATCGAGTGACATGTCGTGTATAATCCCTTTTGTCTTTGGTGGTTTCGTTGCTTGGTCCATGGCGGGTCGTTGTTTAGAAAGGGACGGGACGAGATCGCCGCCGGCCTTGGGTCTGGCCACTCGATGCTGCCATGAGGTCTTGAGTGATCCTGGGTGGGGCAGATGCCGAAAGCGACCTGTCGAAGCCTTCGAAGAGGAGAGAAAGCTGGGATGGCGGCGGCGCCAGGGTGTGGGAAGCAGATCTCCTTCGGAACGAGTTGAGAAACGCAGCCCAGCCCTCGAGCTTGAACTTGTCCAGCTTGGGAGAGTGCCAGGAGGAGCAGCCCGTCACCAAAGACAGTACTTTTCATCGGTAGTGGTGGGAGCTTCGAGATGATCGGCTGCTGTGGTAGCCCGAGTCGGAGTATGTGTACGGCGAGGACTGCTGCCGAGCGCTCTGCGTATGCGCACTACAAGCGTAACCAACAAATATCGTCCGCTGCTGGATGCTGTGGCCGGGGCGTCCATAGCCGGCGCATCGGTCGACAGCGTGCTGGTAGTAGAGGCAACGGCATGCCGAGTACAGCTCAACCAATTGGTAACACATGGTGATATCTGGGACTTGAGGACACAAATTCGAGTGGCAGAGTAATCTCTGGAGGCTTTGTAGTGTGTTGGAGAAAGAGGAGGAAAGCCTTCACTGTATTAATTGGGAAGACGAGTGATGGTATGGGCTGCGTACGCCGAGGGATGGTGGTTGTGGATGAAAGTGAACGGAAAGGAAACCAGAAAGGAAAGAGATATGATTTTGAGTGATGTGATGCGAGAGACAAGACAGCAGGCAGATATGGGACCAGGAAGGCATCGCAGCCTTATAGACCTGGCAGCCTGGTATGGATGGTGGCTCGTCATACTTGGGACGAGTGTGGTTCGGGGCCTGTCAAGGCAGCAGTGACCCTGGGCGCGGCAACGGCATGCGATACCATCTGACTGAGATCCAGTGACTGGACCTAGGTGACCAGGAAGGAGTGCCCGCGTCTGAGCTGCAGACCGTCTGCCGCGCAAGGTACCTGGATGACATGATGGCGCAGGGTCCCCAGGAGGCTGCCTTGCCTCGCCCGGGCTTGGGCTTGGGCCATGGGGTTTGGAAGGGGGGGCCTACGATCGCTGAGGCTAAGGCGCAGCAGCAGCGGTAGCGGCGACGAAGAAGGAACAGAAGGTGAGAAATTGAGGCCATGGGGTGCGGATAACAGTACAGAGGGCTGGGTTGGAGGGGCGTGGCACGCCTGTGGGTAGGTACGGTAGGGGGGTGGAGATCAACCAACGGGGGGGGACAGGAGTGGTGTGTGTGGTGGTACCGATGTCTTGTACGTGCCCACGGTTCGGCCAGACGAGTCACCCACGGATTTTTGGGGGCCAATTTTGGGAAATGGAAATTACCCTGGCCGACCCCGAGAGCACGCCAGGATGACCGCCATTCGCCGATGAGCTGCAGCAGGGCTGACGCGATGCGATGTGATGCGATGCTGTGTGCCTGGAGCCTGGGGTCTGGGACACTTGCAACGTGTGGACGTGGTACGAAGACGACTGGAATAGGTAGGATATGCAGAGACGGACGCTCAGTCAGCCAGTCGTTATTCCTAATTTGAGGCAGTAACGGTGCGGCACTGCTTTGGCTGTGTTGCTTGGTGCTTGGTGCTTGGTGCTTGGTGCTTGGTGCTCCGGATAGCTCGAGGTCCCCATCGAGATCCCATCGCACGCCGGCAACTCGGAGGAAAGAGGATACGGCGGCGAGCGAGTTATTACGCAACTTGGTTGCAACGATTCCAATCTTGATTGTGATGGGGGCAACTGTCAGGAGCTCTCTCCTCCATCGTTCAATCGCGCATATGGTGCAGCCATGTAGGGGCCCCAGAATGGCAGGGCCCCAAAATGGAAAAGCGCCTGCAGCCGACAGTGGGCTCACATGGTCAGAGCATGTCCGCTAGAGCCAGAACGGTGTGCCTGCTCCGATAGGGTTCTAAAAACGGCGGCTGCTGCTGCAATGCTGTGTAGTATGGGCATTGTGGATTTTCGGAAGCAGTCTGCAGGCATCGGCAGCATGCTCGCAGACGGAGGGCACACCAAGGAATTGAGCAGGCAAGGTTCGTCCATCAGAATTTCATGCCGAGCTCCCGCCCAATTGGGGCATGCTTGTCGTACAAGTGCGAACTGCACTTTGGGTATTTGAAGCCCATGCCATGATCCTCCCACCCGGCTTCCGCTGTGAGGGAGGTCGACGGCGGGCCTGCATACTTGGCATGGGTTCTCATATGATCGAAACGATTCGTTTCATCCAGACTTGCCTGTGAATATGCTCGAGCACCAAGTGTTCGCGGTGGCTGTCCGACTTGACGGGACGTCGTGCGCGACGGATGAGATCTAACGAAGACAGATATCGAGAGGGCAACCAATACCATCTCTACCAAGGGTGACCCGGAATGGTGCCGTCCGCCCTGAGCAGCAGGCTCCGTGACTGGTCGGTCACTCACTGTGAGAGGACCTGGCTCGCCTTACCTGACTAAGGCGGGAGGCACGGTAAGGTAGGTAAGGTGAGGTGAGGTGGATAGGTCCCTGTAGCTTGGTTTCTCTTCAACGGGGATCTGCGGTGTTGGCTGGGTATTCATGCAGTCCATTGGTCACAGTACGGTCCCCCACCATGATACCTCGCAGCACGATCACTTGCGTTTCGCGACGCCAGGTCGTTGCCTGAGATGAAGCCAAGCTTCTCTGTTCTTGACCATCTTGTCAAAATGAGGAAGTTGCATCGAGAACGATCTCATCGAAGGGAACACGCCGTATGATAACCAATGCGGGACGATACGCGAGTCGAGACAAGGGCGGGTTCGGGCTACCCATCCGTCAGGCTTTGCCTTGCTTCAAAGGATGGTGGTAACGGAGGGGAGAAAGGTACAGCCCGATACCAACATTCCGGTGCGTACTTGACAGTGTAGGTGGGTATTCTGCGGCTTGCGTCAACACGACCGTCGTTTTCGACCAAGAGACTTTTTTTCATTCTGGATTGACGATGTTCCATGAAACCCCGGCCGCGAGGCCTCACAATTGAGCTGAAGAGGTCATGTCTGGGGTGCCATGCAATGGAGTGTAGAAAACAGGTATGGTGCAGGAGCTTAAGCAGAGCGTTCCTGGATGGGCAAGGTAGAGAAAGTTGAGGCCCTCGACCTAAGGAACCCCACTTGGCTTTGCCTGATGGGCGACAGGACTGATTCCTGATTCACGTGCTGCAGCTGTTCCTTCTTCGCTGGGACCCGCCCACCCGCCCGCCTGCCTGCCTGCCTGCCTGCCTGGAGCTCCCCCTCCCTGATGCATCATGTTCTTTCCGAGGCGGGCTTTCCAGTACCCAGGAGGCGACCACCATGCAGGTGTTGAACATGTTCCAGGTGCTGCAGGCGTATGTGGCCGTTTACGCCGCCTTTCAGGGCAGGCACAACTGTTTGACCGTCGACTGCCTGCTGCCTGCTGCCCGGATATCAGCGTTCCCTTCTTCAAAGACGACTGACTTGCATATTGCATGCTAAAATAATACAGCACTAGACGACCAAATCGTCAGCGATGACTTTGGCCTCTGTACTTCTGCGCCTCTGCACCAGCATCTGCACCTCTTCCGTCAGCATCCTACCCAGACTATTCACACCCCCTCCCCTCCTCTCCCGTCGACTCGAGCCAACGGCTTGGTCCACCGATGCATCGTGAGCATTCTACTTCGGTGTCCATATCCCGACGAATGAGATGGCCAGATCCGTGCAGTTGGCACCTCATCACCCCGGGAGGGCGGAGACGGACCATTTCTCACAGCATCTTCCTCTGACACTGTTGCGGACCCGATCTGAGACCCAAGCAGACCGATCGCACAAGGACCAACAACAGCATCTGCCGGCCACACCATCCAGCCACGCATGCAGTGCAACCCTTCAAGCAGTCCCGGCAGCCTGTTGCCTCAACCACCAGGTCTTCATCGCACCCAACTCGAGCAGCCATCGAAACATGTTGTCACTGGCGGTTGAGAGTCATCGGAAAAAGGAAACGAGTCCCTTCCAGACCACACCTCGCCAACGACAGCGGCCCACCCCGCCATTCTGTGTCCGTGTGACGGTAGCCTGCAGGCATGCCGACGTCAATCAGTCACCTTGTCACACATCTTGTTCGAATTCTATTTTTCGGTGTCGCTTAAAAAGGAGCCATGCTTTGTACACGACATGGTAAAGCGCCTCAATCTCGGTCGACACCGATCAGTTGATATCATAAAACAAGACTTCGTACATCAACAGCACAGAGGCCATGCTCATCAGCCTTGCCTAGCATACGAACCAATCACCACCAGACGCAGGGGTATTTCCGAGGCCTGCCCGACGCCCAATGGAACCGCAAGCGATTGGTCGGCGAGCGAGAGAGACATTGTCTTCGATCTGACCCTGATGTCATTGGGTACCCCATGATCCAGGGTCCCGCCACCCCTGTCGCGGCTACACAGCCTCAAGCTTGACTGTCAGCAAGGGACGGCTTGTTCACAAACCGAACCATGTTGCTAGATCCTCGCTCTCCCGTCCTTTCCCCATCTGCCCCGTCCCCTCATCAGCCCGGAGTCGCCGGCCAGTCAGTATAGAGATCCGTCTGCAGCTTTCCCCAAGTTTGCCCACGCCCGCACCGGCCGCTCTGCTCATCTGATCGTCGCCTTCGTTTCGGGCCTACCTCAAACCTCTAGGCAACAGCCAGTGTCTGCCAGTAGCATTTGATACAGCATCGCGTCTTGCTTCTTGATGTGGACAAGAAGCCTCATTGAGTCCTGGCTTTCCCTACTTCGAACCAGCTGCATGGTTTCCTCCAAAGGCCGCCAGAATCTGACAAGATATGCACCGGGAAGGAATCGGTCACCCACCCAGCCACACCCGCGGCTTCGGGTGCCCTCGTCGCTAAGGAACTGGTTGGTGCTGATCGTGCATGCTCTTTCTAGAGAGCAAAAAACTTGTGGCTGAACCCAGCAATTGAGCCTCGTTGTTCTCATGTCGGCTGACGGGCCTCCTTCACGGGTTGTGTTGCCTCCGGCGCTGAGCCTCACTACGTATAGACACAAGGCACACCCACTTCACAACCATAGGACGTGGTCCATATGACGAGAAGTCGATGGCCTTTACGCCACAGCGCCAAAATCATGGCGCCCTGTGTGAACTTACGCTCTGCTGCACATACAACCGGCGACCTGTTCAAGTTCTGCTGACTGCCTGTGGCCTGCATGATCAATCACCGCATGCCCCCTCCTCCTAGACCAACGCTTATTTTCTGAGCCCCATGCTGTACCTACCAGGATCCCCAGAGCGCAAATGCCCTCTTGCCGAAGATGCATCGAGTCAAGGCCCGAGTGTGGAGGCACCATGCCGCCAAGTGCCCCTGTATGCCATGCTAGGCAAGCATCCGTCTTACTTGCCTTGGTCTCCTCCACCCCCTGGGTTCCTGTCATATCCTCTTCTCGCGGCTGTTTCGCATGGGAGCCCTCCCGTCAGACGTCAGTATCGACATCACGGCTAAGAGAGGCGGGGACTTCAGCCGCGGCTGTCGCTTAACTCGTCCTTACTCATGACGACGTCCGCCCCCCCTCCCCCCTTTTTGTTTTTGGCATAGATCCAAATAATGGTACATGAGATGGAGACGGACAATATGTCGACAGTGGGGATATTCTAGCGTCATCAAGCCTAAGCAAGACGAGACAAGTTTTGAGGGTTCGTCTGTCCCGAAGCCCGTGCTTGCATAATCAGGATCGTCGTCTTGTCTGTGTTCCATGTCTGATGCTTCGGCAAAGCATGTGATAGCACACATAGAAAAGGTTTGCCCAGATCGTGTGAGCAGTGTTTTTAGCGAGGACACGTACTTGGAAGGGCACCGCCATTTGGTTATACGAAGCAGTCATCTCATCCAGCAAGATCCTGTCACTAGTAAGGCAAAGAGGAATCAAAATCACAGCTGCTGAACATTTACCGTTCACCAATCTTCTGTCTCTTACTCACTTGCCTTGTTCGCACCGTCATCCATCGACTCGCTCTGTATAGAATATCTTCATCGTCTTTTCCTTTTTTTACGACCAGGAAGAAGAATGTAGCACTCGTCAAGGCCGGTGAAGATGACATGGACCATCGGCCCGATGTGTTCGCCTGTCGAACGTGGCACGGCCACAAGATGGGCCTCATCCCCTTTTGCTTTTCCAGGTCCAAATGCCGTGCCACCGAGGGGGGGTTCTCATACGCCCCCCCGCCCCCCCCGGTCCGGCAACACGAACGGATACCTGTCTCGCGGATCGGTGGACGGGTAAGGCTGAATGCCGCCTCGTTGGAAGAATGGGTCCAACAAGGAAAACAAAAACCGAGGGACGCCGATCTTTTCTGGGTCAGAGCACATCGCCTGGTACGACGGCGGCCATGAATAGACCGAATCGGTACTCGACTGAGACGCGGAAGCGGTCGCAACGTGAACACGAGTGATGGTTCCAGAACCGGCAACAAAGTCGCCATGCGCACGAATGAACGACAGCAATCTCACGGCCACAAACTACACTCCTCATCCAATGGCCAGCGGCCAGCCAGCCGTATAGCTCCCGCAGCTTCGTCCAAGACGAGCACGTACGGCAACGGAACACCTGCAGCGAAACGCCGCATTGGTTCCCACGTTTGCAGTCTTTGTCTTTGGAGAAAATAGCATCAATGAACCTCGTCGTCACATTAGATAATGGTATACACAAAGCCCCTCTCCTATTCTCCTCTATAGCAACGGCAGAGTCCTCCCAATCCTGAAGCTTCCCCAGCGACCGTCCGTCAGACGGCCAGATGGTATGCTGCACCGCCTTCCGAGAGAAAAGGGCCAGCCACACACATCCAACGTCCGAGACAAAACCACATATATATAGGCCCAACCGATGCAGAAGGAGAAAAGAAAATGGTATTGTAGAGAAGCATGAAGAAAGACAACGAGCCCTCAGTAGGCAGGCAACAGCAGTGTGCCGCGGCCATCCATGCCGTTCGCCACGCTCATCATCAACGGCGAGAGAGGAGAAAAAAAAACAGTCAAAAGGGGCAGGGGGCCATCGTTCCCTTCCCTTGCAGGAGGACCCCTGTCCTTCGGCCACTGCCCCTCTCCTCCATCTAGAGCGGCGACAGCATCGTAGTGTATCGTGGTTTATGGGTAATTCGTGAGAGCGCGTGGGTGTACAATCCGTCTTGGTTTGGAAATTCAATGGTGTTCATTATGGTTGCGGTAGTGCGAACCGCTTGTTTGTCTACTCCTGGCTCTTTCGAGTGGCCGTAGTCTGTCTCGAGTGTGCTCGCGTCGTTCCAGCGGTGCTGGAACCCCCCTCAGCCACGCCAAGCCATGCGAGAACCATGCTCTATCTTCGCGTCATAGCTGCAGCAGCTCCAGCGGAGGCGAGGTCCTGCTTGGCGCTGACACTCCTCCCCGCCGCCCTCGGCAGGTTGCTCGCGCCAGTCGATATGCTGCCCGTGCCGGTGCTCGTCCGCTTGATAGCCGCCACATGCACAGCGCCTGTGGCCCCTGAGGTTCGGCGAACAGGGCCTGACACGGGCTTGTGCGGGCTGACACCAGTGGCCTCACGAGCCCGCAGCGTCGGTCCGCCTTTAATGCCGAGTCCAGGAGGCTCGGGAAGCGGCCTAGGGGCCGATGCCGTGTTGTGGCGCTTGGCCGGAGAGGCATCGCGCGCGGGTATCCGTGGGGCCGGTGCGGTAGCCTTTCTGCCGGTGATAAACTCGTGATAGATGGCGTCTTCAGGTTTCAGGCGACGGTCAGGATCCCACCGCAGACACCTTGTCAAAAAGTCAAGGAACGGTTCGTCGTCACACTTGATGGCTTGTTGCAGCGTCTTTGACGAGGGACGGCGTCTTCGGCCCTTGGAGGACACCGTGAGGCGAGGCTTGCCCATGGAGTCAAAGAACAACTTCTTCCTGGTGCTCTTCTCGATCAGGTGCTTCTCTGGTGGGCCAAACACTTCCATGATGCATGCCAACTGTTCTTGCTCGTTCTCACCGGGGAAGATGGGAACACCAGTGTAGAGCTCCGCCAGAATGCAGCCGACGCTCCACATGTCGATGGGCATGCCGTATGTCATGCCGAGAATGACCTCGGGGGATCGATAGAAGCGCGACTGGATGTAGGTGTAGACCTTTTCGTTTTCGAAACAGCTGGAGCCGAAATCGATGACCTTGAGTTCCGTGTGGAGAGGGTGACGCAGTAGGATGTTCTCGGGCTTCAAGTCGCAGTGGATGACCTTGTGCTGCTTCAGCATGACGAGAGAGCTCAGCATCTGCTTGGTGAAGCGCCGGATCATCTTGAGAGAGAAGCCGCGGAAGGCATTGACCTTGATGAACTCATAGAGGTTCATGTCCAAGAGCTCGGTGGAGATGCAGAGGTGTCCTCGGAAGTAGAAGCTGTGGGTAAAGTTGACCATGCTGTGCTTGTTTTTGGGGTCCTTCACGCGTGTGTTAGTTTCATGGTTATTGTATCTCAACAGGAGGACGAGAAAGAAAAAGGCAACGTACCCATTCGCGAAGCTTTTGCAGGATGTTAACTTCGACGAGAGCTTGTTGATGGAACCTCTTCTTGTTGCGAATGATCTTGACGGCCACCAGAACACCCGTCTTGTGGTCAATACACCTGACGACCTGTCCGAAACTTCCCTTGCCAAGGATGTCAATGATCTCGTACCGGAATGCGAGGTGGTCGCCAGGGACAATGGTGTAATCGCCCCGTTCGTCGTCATAGCCAAAGTTGGGCTTGTCGGACTGCAGGTCGCCCACCACTTTCTGCGCGTTCTGCGTCCCGCAAAAGTACACATCGCTGTAGTCAATAATCTCGCCCCGCTCATAGAGATTCAGCATGGCTATCCTGATGGCCTCATGAGGCCCGACCCTCTCCTTGGGCGTGGCGCGCTTCTTGAGCGCGTCAAGCGTCCGGGCGGCAATCTCAGTTTCCTTCCTCCTCGAGCCCATCTTTCGGATTTCCTCCTCTGCGATCAAGTCGTCCTTGTCGAGATCTGCGGTCCATGGATCGTTGGCCCGCATGGTGGCGGCAGAAGCCTTGGGCCTGAGGATCTTCTGCATGACCGACGCATTGCGAGGCATTGGTTGGGTACGTTCTTTTGGCGTATCGCCGGGCATTTCCTTCCTAGGGGTGCTCGTGCCATTCGGGGCCCAGTTGTCGCTCTTGGTCCGATCGTGCCCGAAAGTTTGCAAGCTAGACGCTGAGCTCTTCCGACGCCGGCTTTCGAGGTAGGTGCCAGTGGACTTGGGGGTTCCGACGTGGGGGCTCGACGGGTTGGCGATGCTGCCGAGGTTGCCGACGGTGGCAGAGATGGGGATCCGCGGCGGGGGCATGCTGTCTTGTCGCACGCTTGGCTCTGTCGGCTTGGCCGTCGTAGCTGCAGGTTGGGCGGTGCCGTTCTTGGAGGCACTTCGCTTCCATGATAGACTGAGTTTCCGGCGGAGCGAGCTCATGGAGGACGGTGTGGGAGGTTCCTCGGGGTCGGAATTCGGTACGGGTGACTTGGGCTTAGCCTTGACTGGCTTTTGCGGGCGTGGGCCCGAAGGTTTGCGCTGGGGGCTCGCCTCAGGAATGGGTTCAGTGAGGTTGCCGATATCACCCGTCTTTGGCCTCTTGATGAACGCAGCGTCGGGATCGTTCTTGGGCACAGAGGATGACAAGAACGGCGACATGCTAGGCTTGCGACGCGTCTTCTTGGTCATGCCCATCAGAGACTCGGACGAGCTTCCTCCATCCACACCGGACGCACTGTCGAGTCGGTTGTGATTCACCGTGCTACTGCTGCGAAGGTTCGGGAGATCAATCTTCTCGTCATTGTGGTTGCGAGAGAAGAAGCTGCTCTTCGAGGCCGTCATGGGCGTCGATGGCGTCTTGGCGAGGATGCGCGAGGGGGGAGGACTCAGATTCCTGTCAGAATGCCCTGCCTGCAGAGCCGCTACTTTGGCGGCAGTGGAAGGATTGAGAGGCCCGACCGTGATGGGCGGAAGGCGCATGCCCGGCGGATTCCTCTTGGTGACGGGGGGGTTCGCCTTTTTGTCCCCCTCGACGGGCATGGCAGCCGTCGATTTTCGTGTGCTGGCTTTCCGTCCTACCCTGTTGATGGGCTCCAGCGCAGGGGGGATAGAGAAGCTGCCGGTAGAGTTGCTATGAATGCTGCTGGCATCGGCGGCCAGATTGGCCCTCCTCTTGTCCATGAAGGACATGTCGACCGCTGATTCCTTGGGGGACTCGTACGCTTTCGGGATGGCGGGAACCGGGGGCACGTCTTCGGCATCCTCGCCGGCGTTGTTGCCGTGAGAGTGAGACGCCAATGACTTGGGTGCTGGCAGGCGTGACGTAGACCCCGACTGTGGGATGCGTGGCTGAATCGAGCCGGTCGACGTCCTGACAGTGTTGAAGCTGTTTGATGAACCAATCGACAGGCCGGAGCTGTACGACTTTCTATTGATATCGGGCGTCGTTCGCGACGATGACGGAGTGGCCGAAGCCTTTCGGGGGATCATGGAGGGCGACCTCGAGTGCTCGCGCGGCTCCAGAGGCGGCGGAGGGGGTGCATCGGCGATGTGGTTAAGGCTCTGAGGCTGATGCGTCGAGAGACGCTTCATTCGCCGGGTATCGGTAGGACTAATGGTCCGGGCGCCGAGGCCGGTAGCATGCGAGGAGTGAGGCATGCCGGGCATGATGGAGGCACGCTTCTGGCTCGCCGTAGACTGCGCGGAGCCGGGGGCCATGGTTCCCCTGCCTGCGCCGCGGGGCGACCGTGGCGAGAAGGCGGCCGACAGACGGTTCTGTTCCGGTGTCATAATGTTTCCTGCGGTCAGGCTTGCCGAGTTTGTTCGAGGCAGCGGCGGTCCAATAGACCTGGCCTTGGCGGTGCGAACGTTCGTAAACGTCCGAGTCGTGTCGAAGCCGCTGTTCATTGTTCCGTCAATCGAGGTGCGCGTCGAGTCGGCACTGCTGCCGGCGTTCGATATCAGACTCGGCCGCCGCTTCTGGCCCGGCCGAGAGGCATAGTCTCCGTCCAGAATGCCGGGCCCGATCGATTTCCTGGGAGGTTTCGCAATGTTGCTGTTAGAGACGGGGGGGTAGTGGCTCTGTCGGCGGTTCCTCATGGCGGCGGGGGCCGTCGGTGCGTCGAGCACGCCACCGCCACCACCAACACCACCAGACGAGGCCGACATGGTGGATGAGATGCTCGTCTGTCGGGTCGACGTGCTGGGCCGCCTGAGTATGGAGCCGGACCGCCCCGGGCGCGAGACGGGGGGCGCGTTTCCAGCGGCACGGGGCGTGCTGGCACTGGGAAGAGCGGTGGGTGGTTTTTCAGTCATGGTGCCCGACTCGAGGATGCTGCCCTGGCCGGTGGGTGATGGGAACTGGGTCAGCTTGAAGTCGGTGGACGCGGACTCGAGGCTGCTCTGGAGATCGTCGAAGCTCACAGAGGGCAAAAAGTCGTAGGCGCCCGTCGTATCTCCGCCGTCTTGAACAGAAGGCCCATTCCCCCCACCGAACGCAAACAAGGGGTGGCCGTTGGTCGTCGAGGTGCTCAGCATTGGGGCGTCGACGCGTGGCTCTTGGAAGGAGTGTTGTGGTTCGTTCGGATTCGAAAGGTCCCTGATACTGGAGCAGCACAAAAAAAGAGGAAGCGTCAGTCAAGGTTCACGGGAAGGGGCAGCCGTCGATGCAGGCAGGGAGGTTGAAAGGGGGGGGGGGGATAGATAGGCCTTGGCTTGTGGATGAAGGACGGACGTACTGTTTGGTCGGCGAGAAGCTGGCTGGTCTAGGTCCAGCCGGTGGTCTATACTCCTTGACCATGTGGATTGAGTGCCGCACGGGGGGGAGGCAGAGCATGCGGGCGTGGGAAGGTTTCGTCGAGAAGGGTCGGAGGGAGGAGGGCTGGGAAGGGCGGTGCGACAGGCGGTATGGTATGGCGGGCGCCTGTACCAAACTCAGTCCTGTCAGGGAGCTGAGTGCATCCGAAAGGCTAGCTCATTCCGAACACACGAGGATTGGAAACAGAGAGGCCGCCGTGTCGTGGGGGATGGGACACGGGCGGTGTGTCTGTTCAAGAGTTGATTGACAGTCGAAGTGTGAAGGTGGTCGGTCGTGGTTGTTTTGCGAAGTCGGGTCGGGTCGAGCAAGAAAGTACAGCACTAGCTGGCTGGCGACTGGCTGGCGGGCAACTGGCTGGCGGGCGACTGGCTGGCGGGCGACTGGCAGACGGCCTGGTAGCCGGCTGGTGCTGGTGCTTGTGCCTGTCTGTTCCTGTGCTGGGCTCAGGCTCAGACTCAGGCTCGAGTTCAGGCTGTCAACGGGCGGCACACAAGGGGAGGTTCCAGTCGAGCGGCAGGGGAGGGGTGGGGATGGGAGCCTACATGGCAGGTGGGTGGCCGACGGCAGGTGGGAGGAGCAGGTACCGTGGAGGCCAAGACAGGAGAGACAGACACAGACACGGGCGGTAGGTCAGGCGGTGGGGGAAGAGGCGTCTTGGGTGCCAGTGGACCTAGCGAGGTTGGTGCTGTGCTAGTGATGCAGTGCTTCTGTGCAGTTGTCATCAACAAGAGGTACCTCGGGGCCAGAGGTACAACCCCCTCCGCAACATGGTTGTTCCGACTGGCAGACAGACGCGTGGGAACATATCCCGGCCGGCAGGGGTCCGGCAGGTACCTCTGCCGTAGGAGCACCCACCCCACGGGAAGCCCTCTCGAAATCCATCGCTTCCACTAAAGCACCTGCGCCCATCTCGTCCACTGAAGTACCTGAGCAACGCCAATCTCATTCCATTGCCCCATTCCCTGCAAGACCCCGTCGCACTATTCGGAGAATATCTCCTACAGAAGGGCCGTACAAGCACAAGAGCCAGCTGTCGGACGAAGTGAGACCTGAGCATCTCTCGAGCATCTCTCTGTCGCTCTCTCTCTCCCCCCTTCGGACTGCTCCTCTCTGCTGCGCTCGCTCGACTGATCACATGGCGCCTTGTTCCACCTGCTCCTAGGGGCCTATGATGGAGCCTTCTCACGCCTGGTTGTTCCATCAACGACAGATGAAGACGGGCCACTTGGCGGTGCAGGGGCACAGGCAAATCTAGGAAGACCCCGTCTTGGCCCCTTCAGGCACCAGACTGCCGCAAGGGGATTAGGCGACGCCGGCGGCGGCGTACTGGGAAATGGCACTCCTTTCCCAGCACATGACATCGTGTGCCCCCATCGCCCCCGCCCCCCCCCCCCTTCTGATGCGCTGCTGCAGGTGGGAGAGTACATGGTACTGCTTCTGCAAGCCAGGCCGTCTCCTGGGGCACCCATCTCGGCCGGACGACTAAGATCGTGGCAGATCGAACGCACTCGAGCGATGAGGGTGTGGTGTATGGCGTGCCTTTCAGGGGGAACTGTCAGGGGCCGGGTAGGTGGGCGAGCGTTGCCCCCAAGTCGTCGTCGTGCAGTGCAGAGGGGGCCAGCAGAAAACGAGGGCCCTGTTCACAAACGGCACTCGGAGGACCCATGGGCCAATGAGGGGCGCCAGCCACTTTGTTTTGGTCGTCGTTGTTGACTTGGAACCAAATCCCTTTGGAGCAGCGTGTCCCCGACGACAGACGGCATGATCCCCCTCCATGCGAGCCAGTTGCAGGTGCCGCTGCTGCACACGAAGACGTGGAATCTTCATGTCGTTCGACTCGCTTCGACTCGACTCGACTCAGGTTCCTTCGTGATGCTAAAAACGCGAGGTCCCGGACCGCTTCCCAATCTAACTACATGCGTCCGGGGGGGGGGGACCTGGCCTAGCAACGGATAGTCCGTCGGTAGCCTACAGCGCGTGTTCCCTCGACTTCGGACGGCATTGCCTTTGTCTTTCAGGTTATATACCCACCGCCATCGACACCGAACAAGAGGCGGGCGATAGGCGCCCGACTGGGTCATGGTGTAGAGCTGTCACAAGTCTGTTCCGGTCAACAACGGGGATGGATCGATGTTGTGTTTTGGTGGGCAGGGCTTTCGTTATGTCGACGATCAAACAATACGAGCCCGACGCCTTCCATTCCTGGGATGACGGGCGGAGGCGAATATCCACCGACAACGTGGGCCAAATGATACCCTCATTCGACAAGATTGGCCAGAGATTGCACGAATGAAGATTGAACTTTGTCCAGAAGGAGGGAGGCAGACTGCCGCTTTCTCCGGTGTCTCGTCAATCTGCTTGTTTGTCGATCTACCTACGAAGTAGGACCATATTGTTGCGGCGATCTGACGGTTGACAGTTGGCAGTCGACAGGCGGGGGACGGCACGATTGCTGGCTGACCTTGTCTTGGTGGTCCGCCAACGTGCATGGACATGGACGGATGGGGCACGAGACTCACTGATCTGGATTGGTGTATGTTGCGTTCATGCCTGAGGTCGATGTTGATGATCCTTGTCACCTCCTTTTCGGGTGCAGACGCACGAACACGCAAAAATCCGATCAGACTTCACGGTGATCGTCTGACAATATCTTCTTCACCCAGTCGTGCGAACAAAGAATGGCATGTGTGTGCCGGATGAGGAGGCAAATCTCCTGTGGGAGCCACCTGTGTTCCACTGGCGGCGAACAGGGGCGTGGTTCATCCTCCCTGCAGCCGCGATTGTTTCTTCTGGCGGAATTGGAAAATTTAGGGGTCCTGGGGCCAAGCTTGTCGGCGGGCGGCAAAGGTTCATCTCACTACCTATGAGAGACTGACATCAACAACGAGCTCCCGGATCATGCCAGGCCGAGCAAGCCTGACGAGCCACCATCATCGGAGGAGGCCTGCACTGCGTGAGAGAATGGAGCTCATGGCTTTCTTTCCAAGTTGGCATCAACATCTCTTGAAAATGGCAGCATAGCGTGTGGGTTTTCCTTTCTCCCTTCTCGCACTATCAGTGCACTGGCCATGGCTGCCCCACTGAACAGTGCCCTGTGGACGCCGAAGGCCTGGAGGACCCAGGTGCCTACATGTACCTACGTACCTAGGAGCAGAGGACGCTGACAAAGATGGTCGACGACGGTGAGTGATGTCAGTCGGCTCGGGCCACAGCTCGCGTCACATGCGTAGCCTCATGGCCGAAACCTCCAAGTCGCAACCTCGTCAACGTAAATCGCCCCTTCTCGTTTCCATTCTCGCAGAACCGCCGGCAAAGCTCGTGGGTGGGAGAACGGCTTGCTCAAAAGAGGTTGACCGGCTGATCCTCGATAACACCCGCCGTGCCGCATCTCGGAATGATGACCTGATCCAGAGGCCGCTCTCTTCGTCTTCAGCATTTCACCCCACCACCATTCCGGATCAGACACACGCGCACACACGCGCTGTGTCCGGCCATCATGGATGAATACACCACAGACCTCTTCATCCCGCGTCAGGACTCGCCAGAGCCCCCCGCTCATCATGACCATGTTCTCGACGAGCTGCCTCCATCAACACCTCCACGTCCTCAGCAGCAGCAGCAACAGCAGCAGCAAAACCGGCACGACGATCAGAACGCCAGCGACACCTCGCCCTTGTCAGGTCGCAAAGGCTTTCGCGGCCGCGTAGCTGGTGCCGCCCTGACGAAGAAGCATAGCATACAGGATCGTCTCGTGGAAAAGTTCGCCCCCCCCCCCTCCTCTCCCGCTGCTTTCTCTCTTCGCAAGACCTCCAGGCTGACCCTTCCCCCAGGCTCCTGCAACAGGTCATGCCCGACTCGGAAGGCATCAGCGCCGGCGATGAACCGCTCGCCGACGGCATCCCCTCCGACAAGAGGCCCGCCTTTGCTGAGCGGCCCAACTTCAACATCACGACAATGTCCAACAACTTCCGACGCTTCAACGCCCGCATCGGCGTCGTCTTCCAGTTCCAGGCCCAGGCCACGCGCCTCGTCACATGGCAGCATCCCACCCACACGCTGTCCTTCCTCTCCGTCTACACATTCGTCTGTCTCGACCCCTATCTCGTCGTTGCCCTGCCGCCGGCCATCCTGTTGCTCGCCGTCTTCATCCCCTCCTTCCTCGCCCGCCACCCGGCGCCGCCCTCAGGCACCCTCTCCTCCGAGCAGTCCTTCGGCTACTCCCCGCGCGGCCCGCCCCTCGCCCCGGCCCCGACTGTCAAGCCTGTCAAGGAGCTCTCGAAGGACTTTTTCCGCAACATGCGCGACCTGCAGAACGTCATGGACGACTTCTCCAACGCCCACGACCGCATCATCGCCCTCTTCCAGCCCCTGACCAACTTCTCCGACGAGCCCCTCTCGTCCTCCCTCTTTGCCGGCCTCACCCTCGCCGCCCTCGCCCTCACCATCACGGCCGCTCTGCTGCCGTGGCGCTTCATCTTCCTCCTGCTCGGCTGGGCCGCCCTCTTCCTCGCCCACCCCACCATTGCGACGACCCTGACGACGGCCCACAAGGTGCACGTCGCGCCGCACGAGCGCCGCGCCGTCAGCTCCCTGCGCGCCTTTGCCGCACGCGACACCATCCTCGACTCGGCCCCCGAGACGCGCGAGGTCGAGATCTTTGAGCTCCAGCGCGCCGCGCCCGCCTCGGGCGAGTGGGAGCCCTGGCTCTTCTCGCCCTCGCCCCACGACCCCCTCTCGGCGCCGCGCATCGCCCGCCACCGTCCCGTCGGCGCCCGCTTCTTCGAGGATGTCCGCCCGCCCGACGGCTGGGTCTGGAGCGAGAAGAAGTGGGCCCTCGACCTCTGGAGCCGAGAGTGGGTCGAGGAGCGCATCATCACGGGCGTCGAGGTCGAGACCGAGGGCGAGCGCTGGGTCTACGACATGTACGACGAGCGCGAGGCCGCCGCCGCCCGCGCCGCCGAGCGCATGCCTGCCGATGACGACGAGGGCGGGCCCGCCGACGTTGTCGACTGGAGCGTCCGCGGCCGCCCCAAGGTCGTGCCGCTGCCGAGCTGGGAGGAGGGCGACGACGGCGAGGGCCGCCGCGGCGAGTGGCGCCGCCGCCGGTGGGTGCGCCTTGTCAAGAGGCGGGCCCGCACCGACAGCGAGAGTGCGTAGGACGAGAATGCCGACTGTTTTTTTTTTGGCCTTTCTGGACGTTTAGCGTAGCCTTTTGTTGTACCAGAATGGACGGCCATCACATGATATGAGATCACGAGACCAGCATCGCGCGGGTGGTGTCAACACATTGTATGACGAGTGTTTTGGCCAACGGTCTCCACGTTTTGTTCACATGAATATGTGGCATGAATAATTCCAATCGAAAAAATTCCGCCAAAGCTGCATTCTGCATTCTGCAATCTGCCCAAGCTCTCCTGACATGAACACCTGCTCAGTCTCACACGAGACACGTCACCAGATCCAGGTCCAAGCAAAGTAGCAAAGGTATCATACGCTCGTCGCCTGCCCAGCCATGTCCCCACCTCCTTCGATGCGCCTGCTCGAGATGACGCTTCTCTGTCCACTATCCTGCTGATATTTCATAAAGATGCCTGACGGCGCCTGTGAAATCATGGCTCTTGACCCACATGCGCTCTTGGTATGAGCGAAAGAGTATGAACAAAAGGGCCAAAAAACAAAGAGAACATAAGTGTAAAAAAAAAAAAAAGAAAAAAAAAGAAAAGGGCCGTATATCCGTTCCCGCTCTCCTTCTGATGTCAAGCCCGACCGTTATCCAGTGCTGGTGATTGGCGTGTTCCTAGATGTATACCAGCCGGAACGTTGCAGATCCGGGTTTGATCCCCCTGGACCTCTTCAAAACTGTCCCCAGACGGCGTCTCCTACACGCACATCTTGTCGAGAATGACCTGAATCCCCGCACCGAACGTGCCCGACTCGTCAATCTCGCTGACGAGTTTCCTCGCGCGCGCAATGAGCACGTCAATCACCTGGCGGGTGTATTCGAAGGAGCCCGTCCGCTCCATAAACGAGACGGCGTAGCGCTTGACCTCGACATCTGACGTCTTCTGACCTAGAATGTTGATGAGCTGCAAGTTGCCCGGGTCGGTCCGGATGGAGTGGATGACGGGAAAGCTGAACTTGCCCTCAGTCAGGTCTTCGCACATGCCCTTGTTGTTGGAGTACTCTTTGCTGTTGAGGTTCATGTAGTCATCGCGGATCTGGAAGACCAGTCCAAAGACATTGACAAGAGGGACGCAGTCGACGTGGCGGCGCGACTCGGCCTGCATGAGCTTGATGCCGAGGCGGAAGAGGCCACCAGTCTTGTTGCCGACCATCTCGAGGTAGTCATCCTCGGTCGGGCAGGTGAGCGTATCACGCCAGTAGAGGTCCATGCCCTGGCCGCGGTGCAGGTTGACGAGCTCCTCGGTGAAAATATTGATCGTGTCGGGGTTGTTGAGCTTCTGGAGCTCCTGCAAAGCGCAAAAGTAGATGTAATTGGCCGAATTGATCGTCTGTGGAACGCCGAAAATGTTGTGCGCCACGGGAAGGCCTCGGCGCAGGGAACTCGAGTCTTCGACGTCGTCTATGAGTAGACTGGCCGTGTGAAGCATGCCTACAACCTTGTTGATCACCACGAGGCTCTCGTGGGGCACATCGAGCCAGGCGTTGAAAGCGTTGATGACCTGCGAGCGAAAGTCTTTGCCGGGCTGAGCAATGAGGTAGTCGTACGGACCGGCAACAACTCGTTCCTTTTCCTCGGGCCACGGGCGCGTGCTCGTGACGTTGAGGTCTTGGGTCGCATAGCGGTGGGGGTCAGGAGGCGGGGGCGGCTTCATGGTGACGGTGAAGGAGGTGGTCTGCAAGCTCGAAGATGCGATGGCGGGTCGATGAGGTACCTTCTGATTTTGTGAGAGCCAGTCGCTTTCAGGGACGGGGCGAAGTACAGATTTAGAAGGAATGTGTCCAAGTGTGCCGTTGCCGGTGGAAGAGGTTCGTGGAGGAATGGCGTTGGGTGAGGCAAGCGCGGCGCTGAGAATGGAGGGGCCAGAGAAGGGAGGTGATCCGGCGTTACTTGAAGGCGACATGGTTTTGTGATTGCTGGGTGAACGTTTGGGTGCGCAAGAGGTCGTTTCCTTCTTAAGCAAACGAGGGGTTGAGGCGGGCGGGCGAGTTGAATGGTTGGCGTTTGTGTGATGGCCTAGCGGTTCCGGCGGGTGTCTGCAAGGGCGGTTGTCGTCATCACACGAGGTATTCGAGGCTCCTTTTGAGGTTCTGAGCCCAGTCTCGGCAGAGATGAGACGAGGACCGGCGTCAAGATCAGAAGCGGGCCAGGCACCAGGATATTGCTGCTTGTTTGTCTACATGCGGAGGCGCCCTGCGGTCAGCGCGGGTCGCTAGTTTTGGTTTGTTTCCGGTAGTACAAGAGAGGGCTATGGTGGCTTGGGGGAGGAGGGCGCGGAGGAGAGGGGTCGAGATGGGCGATGAGGGTACGTGTGAAGTCAGGCAAGGTGATGATGTGCGGAAGCGTTGAGCGTTGAGCGTCAAGCGTTGACAGGCTGTAACGTCATGAGGTGCGGGTGGTGTAGTGGGGTTCGGCTCAGTGCAAGGCTGAACTGGAGTGAACCAGACACCTCGTGCGGAGTCAAGTCACAAGCCGCGCCACTGAGACAATGCGAATAATGCTTCGGCTGCACCGCTCAAGGTACCTCGCCTGCACAGATGGCACAGACCACAAGAGAGAACAATGCTGTTCGGTCTCTGTCTTCGAGCATCCGCATACGGCAACGAAGTGCAACAGGAGTGCACGAAAGCAGCAGTGGTGCTCGAACAACAAGGAGATGGAAAATAGTCATGCAGTAGCAAAGTGGTCCAATGCAGGGAGAGAGAGATTGTGTGCGTGTGTGTGTGTGTGTCTGTGTCAGAGGAAGAAAAGAGACACCCAGTTGCATGTCGAAGAAAGCCAATACCGGCAAGAGGAACAATAGCAACGACATCCAGGAGCAGGGGAGAAAGAGAAAAAGAGGTAAGGGAACACACGCATAGGAACTGGTGCTTATTGTTGCCAAGAGGCTACATACCTCGAGGAGACAGCAGATGGGTATCGGCTGACAGTGACGTTGCAGTTTTGCCGCCGCCCAACGGTGTTGCAGATTCGCGTTGTGGCTGACTGGCTCGTGATCGTGAGGAGAAGAGTTGGAGTTTGTGTCGCGGGAGCTGTTTGGAGCTCTTATCGATTGACCGCGGGGTGCGGGTGATTTTGGAGTCGTCTTCGGTGTCGGTGTTGCTGCAACGCCGACAGCGCCGCAACATGTAGTAGACGTCATCGATACTCGGAGCGACCGGGGCAGAACTCGTGAGAACCAACAAGAATGGCCTGGGTAGGATGGATCAAATGGGTCCTCGGAGGCTTTGCTCGGTCTTGGAATACAAGTGGTGACACGACGAGGTCCTCATCAGGCCCTGTGCGCCTACCTCAATGTGTCATGACTACCGAGACGGTCAAATGCGCAATCGCCTGCAAGTATGGGGCCGGGTCGGGATGAATGCGAGTGCGAAGGGCTGTGGAGGAATCCGCCAGCGCTGAAGAGTTTCGGAAAGATTCTTTCTTGGAAAGATTCTCGGAGCGAATCCTCGTAGAAAGAAGAAATGAATGAAAGCCGAGAAGGAGCTGGTCCCGAACGACGAGGATGCGGCTTGATCCCCATGTCTCTGAACCATCTCGCGTCGTCCCCAAAATCATTTGTCGGTCGTCGAATCCCAACTGGCTTTCTGCGGCCTTCAGGTCAAGCAAGCCCCCTCCGCTCAGACATACTCATCTCGCTCGCCCGTCCCACCGCCCTCGTTCGAAAGCCAGATCCATCACCTTGATGGCGCCTGCTGGCTCGCTTCGTTGGCGCCACGGGCGTGGGCGGGCCTGGGTAATCTCGCACATACTTGTCGCCAATCTGGCAGCATCATTTCGACTGCTGTGCTGTGCCATGCCGAGGACGTCGTGCAGCCTAATCCCGTGGTCGCCTGTAGGAAAGTTCAGCGTTGTTGCGCCCCGAGTCGCGAACGGCGTGGGCGGGTATGCTCCTGTGACAGGTGGAGAAGCGGCGATCAGGCACACCGCTTGCCTCACCTTACCCTGGTGCCTGGTATGCCCCGAGCCCGTCACACCAGCCAAGTGTGGCGAGTTGATCGTAGGCAGTATGCACTGTCCTCGCATTCCGAGTAAGGTAGATCATCACCTTGCTAGACACTGACGCGGGCTCGAGAGTTCGGGTCGTCGCAACATGCGACACTGAGGGCGCAGGAAGGTACAGTAGAACGTCTTCACACGAGCCACGACCAGGCACTCACGAGAGGTCAGGTATACGCGACGAGATGTTGGACATTGCCCTATATCTGCAGGCTAAGCTTCTCGGGCGTGATGCGCCCGCACGCCCGCAACAGACCCAGGGTGCCCGGAGCTCTAGTTTTCCAATGCATCCTTGAACACGGCACGTCGTGCCCACGCTGATCACCACTGCCGTCTGGTGCCGTAGATGAGGTCGCGAGGTGCACATCATGCGGACCACCTGGTATTTTGCAGAGGCCGCACTACTCGAGATGGCTGTCTCATCCGCGCCTTGTAGGAAGCAACAACAGTCGATTCGGCTCAAGAGTGATGAGCAAATGTTCCAGGCGCGGGGTTTGGAAGCAAGCAGCATTACACAGACGCTCGAGTGCGTGTGCTGGTGGCTAAGTCAGACGCACCACCCAGCTCAATGTCATTCATCCTGTGTACTTCTTCTCAAAAGACTACACTGCCATGGGCCGTGCCCAATGTGGTGGCCTTGTTGTAACGTGTTGACTACACATCGTTGCTGTTGACCTGCTCTGCTGCTGCTGTGCTATGGCGCCGACAGCCGAGGTGAGACACACATGGGCTGATGCAGCATTGGTGCCGGGCATATTAGGCTGGGTCGATCAAAGCAGCAGCAGCTGCTGCTGCTGCTGCTGCTGCTGCTGCTGCTTCAAGATGCCAGAGCAGCTCTCGTATACAGCTGCCGTCGCCGGCGAGGTGAGCTGAGCTGGCAGGGTTCCATTCATCTCGGGTTGCCGGTGACAGTAAGGTGTCTACGGCATTGGCATGCTCGGGTTGACCTGGCCATGGGTCATGTCGTAAGAGTTCCGAACCTTCTGACCCTCTGGATCTGCTTGTCTTACCCAAGCAGGTTCCGAGGTGGGCTGTTGACTCATGAGCCCATGTGGTTTGCTACCTTCTACCTCGTTGACGGGCAGGAGTGAACCGGCGGAATGGGAGAAGAAAGGCAAAATGTGGGGGAGGAATGGTTGTTTCCCCGCCCGGCTGGGGCGCCCACTGGCAGGCAAGGCAAGGCAGGCTCGATGGGCCGTTGTGCATGATGCATGCGCCCGAGTGGAGCCCCAGGTCCCCTGCGGTTGCCGGGCCACCTGTAGTCGGTCGTCGCAGCCCGATGCACCTTCTCGGACGCCCATCTAAACACCACCCTAAACCTCCGTCTGACCCTTAAACCGTGACATTGGAATCCATCGCGACCTTGGCTCCCCTTCCCTTCCCTTTTCCTCTTTTTTTGTCTCGCACACACTCCCCCTCCATCGGTTCACTGCTCTACAGCCCGTGAGGAAGTGCAGCGTGTGCCTTTCTTTCCCATTCGCTCCATCTGTATTAACACCCTGAACCAAACCCCCATAAAACGTCAACAGGTCCAACACTTCCAATCACACAAATCATCGAAACCACCACCAGAACCCTGACTCTCCTTTTTCTGTCTGTCCAATTCTACTTGATACCCCATCGCAACATTCACGCCGAACGAGGGCGCCACGGCTACGATGGAAGCGCTTCTCTCTCTCGCCTTCGACAATCTCTCCTCCTATGACGGTCTCAAGATCCGGAAGGGCCTGCGTCAGGTCGAAGGACTGCTTGCCCAGATCTGCCTGTCAACACCGTCCCGCTCGAGATCTTCCTCCTCACCCACCAAACCCAATGGCCACAAGCGCTCCGACAGCAAGCTGTCACCCGATCCAAGCGACGCGCCCACCGACGAGCACGACGGCCCAGATCGCAAGTCTCTGTCTGACCTCGGCGACGACCCGGCCTTCCGCGAGTTCTTCAAGCTGCAGGAGGGCTTCGAGTGGAATGTCGCTCTGCGGTTGATCAACACACTCGACCGGCTCATGGCCAAGAGCTCCGATGGCCAGAACGACCTCCTGATCCTCAGTGCCCTCGATGCCATCCAGGGCGTGCTGCTGCTGCATCCGCCCAGCAAATCCCTCTTCTCGCGCGAACAGTACATGAATGTAAGTGCCATGCGCCTTCCCCCCCCTAAGCCTCCTCGCTCCTCGCTGACACGAGAACACAGCTCCTTCTCGACCTCCTCGAACCCGTCAACTGCCCCGCCATCCAGTCCGCCACCCTCCTCACCGTTGTCGTCGCCCTCATCGACACACCCACAAACACTCGCACATTCGAGGCCCTCGATGGCCTCCTCACCGTCACCTCCCTCTTCAAATCCCGCTCCACCTCCCGCGAAGTCAAGCTCAAGTTGGTCGAGTTCCTCTACTTCTACCTCATGCCCGAGGTCCCATCTATCCCTTGGGCCGATGCCCGCGACTCAGTACCCGCCATGCTCCAGCGCAGCCCGAGCAAACTGGCGAGCGCTTTTGGACACAAGCGCGGTCACTCGCGCGCCGACAGCAGCGTCAGTGCCAGCGCTCGCAGCCGCGCCGGTAGCGAGAGCGAAGGCACGCTGAGCACGGACGAGAAGCAGGCCCTCCTGGGGCGGCACCTCAGCAGCGTCGAGGACCTCGTCAAGGACTTGCGCACGAGCACGCCCTTTGGTGGCGTCTTGTGATTCGGCTAGAGCTCTCGACTCGACATTGTATCCTGATTTTCGTTTCCTGCGTTCTTTTACAGGCTTGCGCAGCTCGACTGCGTTGCATTTTTACGGTCTTCATCCCTTTGATTCCCCTCGGCGTTGGGGGAACAGCAGGATGAGCGAGCATTTCTCCAGTTTACATCAGGGGTATTTTTATTTTTAGAGACGGATCAGCTGGGATTGTATTCTCAGCTAGAAGAAAAGAATGGCGCAACGCAAAAGTCAGCCGGTTTGTTTTGCTGTTTCTCGGCCCGCGTCATTGGACTGCATAATATCTCAATGCTTCCTCAGGCGTTTACTCTGGTCGTTGGTTACTCGGTGCTACCAGGTTCTCACTTTCTCCCCCTTATTTGCTTTTCTCAAAAGGGTAGCCAACGCAGCAGGAGGATCGGTTTCTTTGTCTTTCATTTTGCTTTTCCTTAGGATGCACGGGGGCGGTTCAGAGTCGTCATCGTCATCATTCGTTTCATTGGGCGTCTTTCTTCCGCGCTTTGCTATCTGTCACAGAAATAGAATCAAGGAGCGCAATGGCTCCTCACGGACCTGGCGTTCGATATTCCGACCCCGAAACACTCGTTATGCTCCCCGGTGTCAAAACTTGCGACTGCCTCCCATTCCACTGCGGCAGCACCTCGTCTCCAACGCCGAGCTCGAACCGTCCTTCCGTTGTCTCAGGACCCGAAGCGGCAACAGCGGCAGGCTGCATCTCCCCCGTCCTTTCCAAGCCCCTCGTAATGCGCGAGTCAATCTCAACCGGCGCAGCAATGTCGTTAGGCGAGTTGGCCTGCACCGGCACCCCGCGCCCGGGGGACGTGGTCGTTGACGCGGCGTTCTCCGTATAGGGCCCCTCGACGGCGGCAGGGCCAAAGTAATCCTGCGTCAGGCCGCGGCCGCGCGTGGGGCGAGAGAGGTCCGTCACCTCGGAGACGGCCTGGCCGGGGCTCTGCGCCGTCCGGCTCGTCTGCTGCTGCTGCTGTTGGCCTTCCGAGGGCGGCAGGCTGCGCTGGCGGCGGCGGCGGCGGCGGATGATGCAGACCCAGGCGAAGATGCCGAAGAGGACACTGATGCCGACGGCGATGCCGATGCCGATGCCGGCTTTGGCGCCCGTCGAGAGCCCGCCGGAGCCACCGTCGCCCGAATCGGGGGTAAAGGTGTAACCCGTGTCCGAGTTGCCGAGGGCGCAAAAGGGTTCACCAGAGACGCGCGTGCAGTGCATCCACTCGTCGCAGCAGCCACCTTCGTCGGGGCACGCACGCTGCGTGGCGGCCGTGCAGCCGGCGTCCATGGCTGTGACGAGGGCGCTCGGGGTCGGCGTCCGGGTGCTGCGGCAGATGCCGCCCGAGGCGCACGTGTGGCCGTGGGGGCAACACTCGCCGCCAAATTCATCCTCGCAACGGAAGAAGCTGGTAGTCGGACAACTGCGGCCGCAGCACGCGCTCGAAGCCGAGGTCGTGCCCTGGCGTGTGATGGTGGTGGGACACTGATAGGCCGTGGCGTCACAGGCCGAGTCGCAGTTAGAGCCGATGGCGCAGCATTTCCCCTCGCCTTCCGGGTTGATGTAGCAATAGTGATCGTTTGCGCAGCAGAGGCTGTCCTGGCCAATGTCGATGCCTGTGGGGTCGCGCAAGGTGGTCGCGTTAGTCAAGGAACGCTACAGGCTGCGCAACCGGGAAACGTTGATGATGCCTTTCTCTCACTCACATCTGTGACGATCGGGTGGACACGGCGGTCCGTCGCGCCGCACGAGCTGGGGAGCGTCGACAAAGAATCGAGGAACGATGCCTTGCAGCGACAATTCAACGGCTCCAAACTGCTGAGCATCGCCGAGCGCGAAGCGGTTCGATAGTAGCGTCGTTGCGAAGAGGGCCAACCTGAAAGTTCTCATGATGAAGATAAGCGACCAACCGAACAAGCTTGGTGTTATTAGCAGGCAGGGAGGGGGGAAAACAAGCGCTCGCGCTCTCAAGAATCAAGACGCGTCGCTTTTGTCTCTGACCATGGTTATCCTTTGGGCGGTCCTGTACTGACTGAACAAGACTCGAGCACAAAGGGCTATTGAGAGAAGGCGAATTTCGTCGGGGTCGCAGGTTACACAACACACACACACGCACACACATTCTCGATTGCCACGGCCAGACCCTTGACAATTGGATACCCACCACCTTTACCTTCTGCGCAGGAGAATCCGACCGACAGGTGTGTGCATGCCCCGGCGATGCGAGAGGAGGCGTACGGGACTCAGCAGCCCACGCCGCCCCAAAAGGTAGCATCCGTCCGCTCCTACAGCTCCCAGGGGGCTCGCCATCCGCCACGCTCACCCTCCCGCAGCTTCGGGACAGGACACCTTTCGACCGTTGAGGGGCATCAGCTGCAGGAGAGAGATTGGCATCTTCGCTGAGGTACATGGCTCGGCGGGGCCATGGGTGGTCATCCAGATCCTTGGGGGGGAAGGGATATGCAATCTGTGCAAATTGAGAGGTGATCAAGTGCACCGGCGTTCGCGGCTTTGCCGCCAGCCTGCAGTCGGGCCTGCATATTGCCAAGCAGTGGTTCGCTGCCCAGCGTACGGCGGGTGGGATCGCAGATGGGTGGGCAGTAATAGGCTATTTCGTGTGGCAACTTGTCTGCTGTCAAGGCGATCAGTCGCTGGCGATGGACAACCTCTGGTGATGTGCAAATCCGAGGGGAGTTGTAGATAGCATGCTTTGGTGAGATGGGCATCGTTCGGATGGTCGTGGGGGAATCTGCACCACCCAAACTTGATGGGCAAACGATATCCTTTTCTGATGACTGTACACTAAGAAGACTCCGAGAATATCACTCGTTCTGCCAGGAACGACTGATAGTCAGGATTGATCGAAAGGCCGCTCCTTTCGTCGTGATGCTTGGCGGAGAAGTGCACCATGCCAGAGAGGATGATGGAGCTGACGCTGTTGCCATGAGCTCCTTCCTGCCAGGCGGCTGCCAACTGGTATGGCTGCCAACTGCCAGCACATGTCGGACCCCACCAACGAACCCCGCCAACATGTTGCGAGACGAGACACGGCCTGTGAACTTTCCCCCACATCGAATGACCCCTCCAAAATCAACCTCGACGTCTGTCATCGCAAACAAGCGAACAGGCCTTTCCCGCGATATCCCTCGACGACCACCAGACCTCTCGAGCCAATCCTCCCAGATATTGGTAGCCACAATGGCCGAAACCACCGCCTTCCCCCTGCCGCCCATCCTCCAACACGCCGACCCCACGCCAACTCTCGTAACCCAAGGCGCCGAAGGCCGCCTCTACAAGACGACCTACCTCGTCCCCTCCCGGCCCGCTGCCCTCAAATACCGACCTTCCAAACCCTACCGCCACCCAATCCTCGATGCCCGCCTCACGCGAACGCGCATCCTCGCCGAGGCCCGCGTCCTCCACAAGTGCCGCCGCGATGGCGTCCTCGTCCCCGCCGTCCTCGCCCTCGACGACACGGCCGGCTGGCTCATGCTCGAGTGGATCGCCGGCCCCCCCGTCCGCGTCGCCGTCAACAACTGGCTCGACAGGTGGCATCCCGCGCATCGCGCCGCTGTGTCTTCTGAAGCCACCCTCGGCGCCGTCCCGGAGGAAGAGGACCAGCAGCAGGAAGCCGTCAAGCTGCAGACCGAAGACGGCCGCCCGAGCGCCGAGGCCGAGAGGAGGCTACACGAGGACCTAGACCTCAAGGCCCTCATGCGCAAGGTTGGCGCCGCCGTCGGCAGGCTGCACAAGTCGGGCATCATCCACGGCGACCTGACCACGAGCAACATGATGCTGCGGCCGCCCGTCCAGCCGGCGACGGCAACAGCGGCGACCGGGGCCGAGATTGGACCCGAGGCAGGCGAGGACTGTGCGTTGCAGGGCGACGTTGTTCTCATCGACTTTGGTCTCGCCTATCAAAATTCCATGGATGAGGACCGTGCCGTCGACCTGTACGTCTTGGAGCGGGCTTACGGCAGCACCCACCCCCGCGCTGAATCTCTCTTCCCTGAGTTGCTGGAGGGCTACAAGGAGGCTTTGCCTGCGAAGCAGTCGACCTTGGTTCTGCGCAAGCTGGAAGACGTCCGCATGAGGGGCCGCAAGAGGAGCATGGTCGGCTGAAGAGATCCCGGCCGCACACGTCCATTCTTAATTCAAAACAAAAGCAAATGTGATACCCTTGAATGACGCTACCTATATGCCATGTTGAGCACCGTCCACATGCCAAATGAAACGTATATTCTGTGATATTATGTTCTGTCAAAGGCTAACCGCTGCGATGAGGATGCACTCGATATGCACTGTGGTCCGCCCCAATACCTAACGCCATATGCCTTCGGGCAGGTAGTCAGTACCCTATCCCATGCCAATATTCACCCATACTCAACGCCGTCCCGGCCATTTTCGTCAACAATGATGGCCCAAAAACAAACACTGTCTGACAAAAGGAAAGATAAAACAGACTCAATGAGGGGTATCAGATGTTGTCAAAACGCACCTCCCAGTCACCTCACTGTTGCTTGATGCATTTGGTCTCAAACCACCGCGCAAACTTGACAGTGGGAACATCGATCAAGCGCCAAAAGACGTCAGCCGCCCAGATAACGGCGGGGACACAACCGAACGAGCTCAGGACGAACCCGAAATTGTACCACCACCCCTCGATGCCCGTCATACCATATGCCCGCTTCTCAATCATGTAGCCGACAGTATGCAAAACAGGGCCATGTACCAAGTACATGGCAAAACTGATCTTGCCGAAATACTGGATTGGTGCAGTGTTGAAGAATCTCTGCCACCTGGGTGAGTGGCTGACGCTGAGCACAAAGAGAATGGCCCCAGCAGACTGCCAGTACCGGTATCCTTCTTCCTGCCACCAGGTAGGAATTATAGAGCACAGCCACTTCCATCCGGGCGTGTCGCTGCACCGAGCATCTGGTTGCGACATCAGAACCAAGGCCAGAATGCTCAGCATGGCCCAAATAACACCACTAAGAGCGCTCTTCTTAGAATAAGTTTTCTCAAGGATCGGTAGAGCCGGTGCGGGGCTGTGGGCACCTCGAATCAGGTCGAGCTCGGCGAGGACCATGCCGCTGTAGAAGAGGAAGAGCTCCCATCGCTGGTTGCGATACGTGAAAGACATGATGCCCAACATGGTGAGAAATCGCACGGACGTTCGCAGCCTCGCAACGGCTATAGTCGTGATGAAGAGGTAAATTGAGCAGCGAAATTCAACCGGAATCGTCCAGAGATGAACATCGTACGCTGTTGAAGTCACGCTAGTCAGCCTTATTTCCTTCCTCTCGGGGGCATCCCACACTCACATGTGCTGCCTCCAAATTTGTTCCAGCTGAACACATGAACAAACTTGAACATGCTCCAAGCCCAGTGCCACACCTGCTCCGAGCTCGTTGCGAGGCGCTCAGGGTGAGGCTCTACGACATTCTTCATGTAAGCCCTATCGTTGGCAAACGTCCTGGTCCACTCATAGACACCCAATCGAAGAAGGATGACAACCATGAGAGTTGAGAAGGCAGGCGGCAGGTAGAGGCGGATGATGCGTCGGAATGTCAAAGAGCTCATTGTCGAAGCGAAGCCTTCATAGTTTTGGCTGCGGATGAGCTTCAACGGTTTGTAGGAAAGAGCATAGCCTGATATGACGAAAAATAAACAGACTGCTGGGGGGCCTTGATAGAACAGGCGAATGATGGGCAGCTTGAGGAAATGATAGTTGTGCGGGGCGGAGCCGTAACCTTCAGCGATGATGAACGCCTGGTAGAAATAGTGACAGAAGAAGACGAAGAGGGCGGCAAGACCTCGCATGCCGTCGAGGTAAGAGGTGGGCATTAGCTTGTCGGTTCGAGTTTGCGGTCGTGTAAAGCGGCTCTGAACAAAGCTAGGAAGAAGAAATATGGCCATGCGGAGAACGACGACCCTCCAATGTATGGACCGCACATAGCTGGTGCCACTTCTGGTAAGAGACTTCCATCCGCGCACCCCGAACCTAACCTCGATGTCGGCATGTCCGCTCTCACTATCAACGTCGGAAAAGGACTTCTCGTCAAGAAGGCCAAGGGTCTCCTCGTGAGAGACCGAGTGTATTGTACCAGCATGCCCGTTCATTGTCCTGCAATGAATGGGGTGTAGAGGGCAGAAGAAAAGGACAGCAGACAGACCCCGAGGAGCTAGATTGCTGAGTGGTGTTATAGCGAGAATCAACTTGGAGGAATCCCGAGTGAAACAGGAGAGTAGAGGGAGGGAAGGTACCAAAGAGGCCGACACGAGGTCGTTTAGTATTGGAGGAGTCGAACTCGTCCAATAGATTTCTGGGGATGATGGGACGATTGTATCGAAAGAGCGGTCTTAGGTGACAGGGCAAGGGGGCCAGGAGCTTAACAAGGTCGTCTCGGCTCGTTAGCCGACGGGGCGTGAATCAAGTTCGCGGTCTTCCCAGCCGTAATTTCTGGTAGCTGGGAGCAGGTCTCTTCGGCTGACACGCGGTCGTTGAGGTTCTCGTGGCCGAATTCGATGTTGTAGGGAGGGCGAACAGCTGCGAAGAATGAGAGGAGAGGTGTAGGCGAACTAACAGCGGTAGCTGGGCATCGCTAAACATGGACAGCAAACCAATCCACTGTCCGCGTTGCAGCAGTCTGCTAGGGATGCTGTTCCGGGCGTGTTTCTATCTTCGTCGGCCCGTGTACCACTCACCAGCTGAAGAAGCAGGCGCTGTGCCGGGCAACGTGTGAGAGCGTGGAAAGGGGTGGGGTGGGATGCTTGAGGCAAGACGTTTCAGGGTGGGAGTCCGGATGGAAAAGGGCCCGCCGCAAGGCCAAGAAGGTCCGTGATGGGAACACTAGGCGTGGAGGCGAGCGGGCGACCATTTACAGACTTTTGGCTGGTGTTTTGAGGTGGTTTAAGAAGTCTGATGGCTCATAGAAATCAGAACAACCTTCTGTTCATGAATTCGGCTGTTGGGCGTAAGCGGCAAGAGTGGCGTGGACGTTGCATCATATGGGCCTACTCTACCTGCCATATGCAATCCCAGTGACTTCTTGGGCAGGTGTCGATGACCTTTCTTGCCTGTTGCATGGAGTACCACGGTACTTCCTGTTCATCGACTGCCCCGCCGTGTCACTAAAAGAAAGTGCGATCTACTTGCCCCTGCCCATCGCTTGATGGCATCAGTTAGGCGGCTGTAGTACCTGAGGTGTCTAGATGAAGCCTCGGGATGGAGAGTGCAACGACCAGGCCTTCAAGCTGATCAGCTCCAGGCCCGCTAGTTGACTAGGGAGCCCACGAACCAGATCGCCCAGCCGACATCGAAACCGCACAGAATGGCGTTGATACACCTGTCGTATTGTTGGCTGTCTTCGCCCGGTACGTGCAGTCTGCGTGTCTTCGGCACGCGTTGTCGTCAGCAGTGGGGGTTTGTCGAGATGGAATAATGGGGCGGCTAAGCACGATCGACATCAGGGGGAAGCATGGACGCTTGTCAATGGCACGGATTCCGGTTTGTTCTCGGGCCTCTGTACCTAAGAGAAGCATGCTGCTTGCGACAGATGCCAGGACTTGGTGGGCGAAAGAAGAAGCTGTGTTCTGCTGCCGATGAGGCAATTGTTCTTGGCTCAAAGCAGTCAAACGCGGCCTCCAGCACACGGTTGAGCCTTGGTTCCCACGCAAAAAACGCAGTGCCCAAAGCATGGCGATGTGACAGGGTTGACGAAAATATACTATGCGGCTCTCAGTCACTAGTCAAACACAAGCCTGAACGGTCAGGGGTAGTAAAAGCTTGACCATTGCACAGCACTTAGCGTCACCTGGCTTGTCCCCATTGCGCTGGAGAACCCCCGTAGATGTCCGAACAGCGCTAAGTTCCAGATTTTGAGGGCCAATCCCCCACCTCGAGGCAGCGTGCCCAGGCACCCTCAGGCCCTCCTTGCACCATGCCCTGGCTCGGCCTGCCCCTTCAAGCGGCTGTGAAACGTGAAACAAGCCGTCAGTACCTGACTCTCGCCCTGTTTCTCATGTACAATGGTTACACAACGCTGTCAAGACGGTAAGGGAGTGCAGATCTTCGCTTGCACGGCACGGAAAGGGTGCCGCACACCGGTCGTCAGCTCAAGATCCCTGTGTCCCGATACGCAAGTGTACAACGAAGGTCTGGTACTGAGTATTCTGAAAGTTGAGATGACTTGATATGTGATTGAGCCTGCAATAATAGCAATACAACGCCGTGTCGAAATTTCCAAGGCTCCTTAAAGCAAACCCGAACGCCCCGCTTGTAATGCCACTCGCCGTGTCGTGTTCTTGTCCGTTTCTATCTGTAATCGTCATGCGCTGCGTCGTCATCAAATCTCTCCCCAGCTGCCCATGGGCCCAGCCGATGCGATAATGGAACCCGTGCCGAGAGAGCCTCCGATATCCCAATAATGTCTCGACGACACGCTACTCCGCCGCGCTGAGCGTCTTGTGCTCTGGCTTGCGCAGCTAGAGGCGTGTCGCTTCGCCGCAGCTGGGCTTGCCGGTGCTGTAGCTTTGAAGGTTCTACGTTCCACCTGCGGCCGCGTCCGGCCAACAAGAGGGTGATGCTGCCGTACCCGCGCCGCCTTGGCCGCTGAATCTTGGGTGCTGCAAGTGGCAAGGTGAGATGTGCCCGATGTGAAGGTTGGCGTCGACGACGAGCGTGGGGAAAATCGAGAGCGAAGATAACGGAAGACCAGCTTAACGTCAAGATCCTGCTCCCATTCCGACTGTGTGAACGCCGCCGAGGCGGTTGCGTTGGGTTCGGTGCGAGATGTGGCCCCATGCGTGCCGTCGGAAAAGCCCCGACCGCCAGGAATGTCCATGGGCTGTGCCTGGTGAGGCACCGTTGGCCTGAACTCGGGCATCTTGGTTGATGCGTCAACAGTAGTTTGTGTGTTTGATGAATCGGCGATGGCCTCGGGAATGGCAGGCAAGCCAGCATAAGGCAGAGGCATCTGCTGCATACGTGTGTAGGTGGAGAAGGCGCCAGGATGGGGGTGTGGAGAGATCTGGTTGACGATAAGGCCAAGTTCCCGCGCTACGCGATCGAGAATCTGGAGCTGCCAAGACGAGCCATCAACGATCTCGGGTGTTGGTGTTTTCGCCAAATCTTCTGCCTTTGGCGTTGTTGACATATCATCTTCTGGAAGTGCTTCGCCAAGGAGGATTGCAAGCATCCGCTCATCAATGCCAATGAGGTCGCGAATGACCTTGCGTGTGAGCCGGGCGAAGAAGCCACGGTCTTCGTCGCTGTCGGGAGACGCCTCTTCATGCCAATCCATACTGTCAGGCTCTGCCAGGTCAACTGTGGTCCTTTCCCTTTCGGCGGGAGATGATGTTGAATTTCCCATCAACTGACTTTGTGGCCGCGCCGAAGACTGTGATTTCCTCCTGCGTCTTGTCTCCTTGTGGATTTCTTCGAGCAAGACACGGCTCTGCTCTAGTCGCCAAGCCTCTATTCTCTGTATCTTGTGTGCTTGTTGGTCTTCTTCTTGCTGCAGTTGCAACTCGGCCATGTCCAGGCTCTCCCGTCTCCTCCGCGTTCGCCTGGGGTTGAACTGCTCGAACGCATACAGGTGGTCTTGGACTTCGGGTCCGACCGGGTGGTCAAGCCTGAAGGAGCCGAGCCCATCATGTGTTGGCAGCACAGGAGCGGCATGTTGAGAACTGTTCACATGTTGGTAGGCACTTGCAAATGTGCGAAAGTCGGGCAGGTGGCTATCCAAGCTGTCAAGCTCGGCATCGTCCTCGACTGACTCGTCATCGATAGCCGTAGAGAGAACAACCGAATGACGGGAGCCTGTGTCTTGGTTGGAGCGAGGGACTGTATTGAGGCTGCCAATATCGCTGAGACGTGATCGTCCTGGAGTGGGTATTGACTCCTCCGCATCACTCAGATAAGAGGCCGATGTTGTGGCATTGGTGGCCGGCGAGAAGAGCACCCATGTCTGAGAGTCTTCGGGGGTGGCTTGCTCTAGGTGATGACTGTGAAGCCGAGTCTCGTCTTGTTGGTCTGCGACGGGACGAATCGCCCGTTGAACGTTTTGGCGTGTCTGCTGGTGGAAGGCCATGGCTGAGCCAGGCGGTATCGTGCTGAGATGGGCGTGAATCCTGAAAAGGAAGAAAAGGTTAGATGCCCAGGCCGATCGAGGAGGCGAGGACAGAGCAGGAGCAGGAGCGGGCGGTGGTGTACATAGACGCCCGGAGCGGCAGGTGCGCTATCAGAGCGATAGCCTCTAGGTCACGCGATAAGATGGGAGGGTGGGGTCAGCGTCAACGAGCGTCACCGCTTTAGGCTCGGGGGAAAGCCGCCAAAACTCGAAGACCGTCGGATCGGAGGTATTGAGGTGAGAGGAGGTGAGTCAACAGCTACTTTCCGACAAAGCTCCGTAAGATTGAGCGCATACGATTAATGGTCACGCAAATGAAGACACACGAACAAGAAATGCCTCCTGATGCTGGGGATGCAAATGGTCAGGCACTTACTCACTACCAACGGCCCTGCCAAACTGACACGTAGAGGGGGGTGGCTTGAGCGGGCGATAAGAGCGCTACGTGAGTCGTGGCGCACACTCTCCCAACAAGCAGCTTTGCATGATGTGGTCAATTGCCTCCCGACCACGTCGCGTGCAGTGGACACCCGTTGACGCCTTACTGGTCTCGGGCCCCCCCATGATGTGCCTGGAGGCGGAAGTGATGAGCGAATGGAGTCCCACAGGAGGGACTCAGCCAAGCTCACTGAACCAACCGGGCGACATCGCGGGCTACCTAGCTTCGTACTTGCCGTACCTTACCTAAGACATCGATGTAAGACCTACTTTAGTCGAAGCTTCAGCCAGCCGAATGGACCGACAAGATGCCTTGTAAGCTGAATGTTGCCACAGACTGTACCGCCGCACAGCTCTCCAGACTCAGGAGAAAGTCTTGCCCAGACTGTCGGTGACTGCCTCCCGCGTGTCACTGTCATGTTTTTGGGCCTACCAAGACGCGCGAATCAGCGTTTCAAACGAGCAAATATGGTCCAAAGAATCTTGGCAACCATGCTGCTCTTTCCAGAAAGCAGGTGGGCATAGCAGGCGATGAGCGGAGTATGACCTGGGGTTGAGCACCTGAATCGCGATCACGTCACCGCATCACGTCGCGAGGTCATGTGGTTGGGTAAACTACCTGCCGTCGTCAACTGCTGATTCGCCATTCCTAGGTAACCTTAAAGCAGTAGCAAGTGGCTGCGAGTGAAGCTGAACAGTGTAACAAGCTCTTCCTATTGATCCAGTGATTCCTGAGCATTACACAAGTCGACGTTTCTGTGATGACCCTGCTGTTTACCAATATTTCAATAAAAGCGCCGTACTATGTTTCGAAATCTGCACTTTGGCGTCGCGACCATAGCCAGGATTATTGAGGCGATCATCACAAAGGCGACGTGGGACATCTCTGGTCATGGGAATGCAGATGATCAAATTCCTATCTGGGCCCTACCGTAGCAAGGTCCCAAACGGGACGTGCTTTCACTCTAGACGCCAATCCTTAGAAACCCATTCATCACCCAGACGTTTCGACAACATCCTCTATGCCTCGGTCTCGGCGAAGGCATCGGGGAAGCGGCGGATGTTCTGGGCCAGGTTGCCGTGGTTGGCAAGGAACTGGACGTAGGCACCGTCGACCTTGACGCGGCCGGCAGCCTTCTTCTCGAGGTACTCCTCACGACGGAGGGGAGTGAAGCCCCAGTTCTTGGAGATAATGATCTTCTGGCGACCGGGGAACTTGTACTGCGAGCGGCGGAGGGCCTCAAGAGCGACGGCACGGTCTGTGGTTTGTTAGCGCCAGCCTCCAGTGCAACGTCGATAGACATGGGGCTGAAACATACGGGAATCCTTGCAGCGGACGCTCATGATGATCTGGCCGATGTTGACACGGGCGACAGTGCCGTTGGGCTTGCCCCAGGCACCACGCATACCGGTCTGCAATCTATCGGCACCAGCGCACGACAACATCTTGTTGATGCGGACGACGTGGAAGGGGTGAGCGCGGACGCGGAGGTGGAAGGCTTCCTTGCCGGCAGTCTTGACGAAGTACTTGTTGGCGCAAATACGGGCGGCCTCAAGAGCCTCGGAGCTCAGCTGCTCGTACTCGTTCGACACCATGTGGATGCAGAGGGGGAAGTCGTCGACATTGGCGCGCTTGCGACCGAGGTCGAAGATGCGAATCTTAGGGTCGGGGACACCACGGTTGAACCGCGACTTGGGGTACGGCTGGAAAGAAGGTCAGTACTTTGTCCCCCAGATTATGCATTTCGCTGCTCTTGTTTTTCGAGAAATTCCTGCCCAGCCAGACTCTTCTCGTCGATCGCATTTCGTCATCGTGTCCAAAATCCTTCTCCGACGCCCAAATTTCCATCGACAGGTTCCAACTGGGCGAAAATCTCGAAAACAGCAGGGGAGCGGCTGCTGACCTTGTTCTTGCAGTACCGGTAGCAACGAGCGGGACGGCGAGCCATTTTGACGGTATTCGCGGGGGTTCCGGTCGGGTGGTTTGGTGTTGATGGTCGGGTTGGGCGGGGAGAATCGACCTCGTTTTGTAAAACTTGCCCAAGTGAAGTGGCTAGGTGGATTTCAAAGCACGGGAAGACTTCGGGTCTTTAGGGTTCGCCTCTCGCCGCCGTGGAATGATTGGCTGCTTGGTCATCAGGCGGTGGGGAGTCACCGGTGGGGCGCCCCGCCCCTGTTCGGACTGACGAAAATTGCCATTTTTTACAAATCCACGAAATCAGTGCCCCTCTAGCCCAGCTCGCCATCGTCAACCACCTCGCCCAACGCCCAACGACCAGTCCACCCAGTCCGGATCACCGTCAGTCGACAACACCGTTAAAATGGCCCCCATCAAGAAGAGCAAGAAGGATGCCAACAGCATGTACGTTTGGCAACATGTCGGCTCGCGCCTCGGCCTGCCTGCCGCAGACGAATTTTTGTTGTTTGAAGTTTCGATTTGCGCCAGCAGGACGATGCTCGACGACAGCAATTCGAGGATCACCGGCTGACATTTCTCCAGCAACTCCAAGCTTGCCCTTGTCCTCAAGAGCGGTAAGGTCGTGATGGGCTACAAGAGCACCCTCAAGAGCCTCCGCTCCGGCAAGGCCAAGCTCATCCTGATCGCTGGCAACACTCCTCCCCTCCGCAAGTCCGAGCTCGAGTGTGAGTATTCCTCATTTCGCATTGTGCCTTGCGCATCACTAATCACCATCTAAATAGACTACGCCATGCTTTCCAAGGCCCCTGTCCACCACTTCACTGGCACCAACGTAAGTTGAATACTTTTTCGCCTACACCACACACGGACTGGTTCCGCGTCTCCTCTTGCTATCGGCCTTGTGGAAGCACGCTCAGCGTCATCCCTCGGCCTGCCCAGAGAAGAAGTCTTTCACAAGGCTTTGGAGGGCTTATTCAAATGGCTGACATTTTCCCCCTTCCAGATTGAGCTCGGTACCGCCTGCGGTAAGCTCTTCCGTGTAAGTCATCATCGTGCCCCCGGTGCCAATCGTCACGCCTCTGACAAATACCACAGGTCGGCGTTATGGCCATCACGGATGCCGGTGACTCCGACATCCTTGCTGACCAGCAGGCTTAAACGCCTCGCGGCGCGAGGATGGGAAAAAAAACGGCGTTGGGGATCGGTTCAAGAATAAGGCATGACGGCATGAACCTGTTGGTTGCGGGGACAGGCCTCGCGCGAGCATTATACCCTTCAGAGTAGCAGTTCATGTCACTGCACCATCTCAATAGATGACCACCGAAGCCTCTACGTACTCTGTTCGTCATGTGTGAATGTTGTTGTTCATGATGGGTCTCTGGCCAGCATGGCGGACTGTCCATCTTTCGTGACGCCGCTGTGTTTGGGTCTGACCCCAACCCAGCGTCAGGTATACTATAGCAGCGCTGTGTTACCGAGTGACTTCATGCGGCTTCGAGCGATACGGGGCAGCGACACTGCCTCCAGCTCTTCATCACAAGTTCTTGTAAAAATTCTCTTGGGTAATTATTCTATCGCGTATGCTCTATCCATGAATCATAATCAGTAAGGCTACTAGTAAGACCACCTCTATTCGCAGAGGAATGGTGGGACGCGCGGAGCCGTTCGGCGCCCCGCCGCAGCATTCTCGGTTGTAGGTGACGTTGTTGAACTGCGCAGCAACCTCGAATACCGAACCATCGCCGACATCGTAAAAGTCCACATTGAGGACGTTGGGCGCCCGACCCCAGTCCTCCACGCAGCCTCGGGTGCTCACGCCTAGCGACCCATATCCCTCGACAGCATTTGTCTCATTCAGCAGTACGACGGCAGGGACTAGTATGTCGCTACCAAAGAGCGGATAGTTCAAGTTGAGGTTGTGGTTCAACAGGTACAGACGGTCGCGAGCCTTGTCGTCTTCCAGGTCCGGAGGACGCTGGACGGTACAGGGAAACTCGCGATCAACAGGGTTGAAAGGTGTTTCCCACATTTGGGAGAATTCGTCGAGGAGCCAGGGGAATCTTTCCGGGTCGGCCTCATAGTCCATAAACATAACGACTCGCTGGCCCTTGAGGATCATGCTGCCAAGTGTCGGCCAGTCGTCCAGGACCATGGGCCTCACGGGAGGCTGGTAGACGTACTGCAGAATGCCAGTCGACTCGATCCAGGGGACATACATTTCGGCGGGCGCGTAAGCCACATCACCGTACCCGCCATTGCCTAGGAGGATAGTGATCACGTCAAAAGGGTGTTCTTCAACCCAGTTCTTGACTTCTGTAAGCCAATCGGTTATGGGACCGGCTGACAAAACGTTAGCGGAGCTCATGGCACGGCAGATGGAGAAAGGTGCACGACTAACCATCTAGAAGGTCACACGATGTATGACAGAAGTGCGGCTCATCCTGACCATCTATCCAGTGCATCTGGGCCTGCAAGAAACGTACTCCGTCGTGCAGTTGAGTCGTCACCTCGTAATGCTGATTTGAGGCAGCGTTGTTCTGTCGTACAAAAGGCGAGTTGTGACAGCCAACCTCGGTGATGTTGCTGTACTTGCGCTCACAGAGCTCGACGTAATTGTTGCAGGGCTGGGTGTTGACCGGCCGTGCACTTGTCGAAGTGGCCGTCGTCGAGAAGTTCCCGCTCAGTCTAGTGCTCGTCTCTCTCCCGGTGATGATTGTGTAATCTTGTTCTGTTGATGTCGTGACACGAGACTCTTCTGTCTCGGTGCCCAATGTCGAAGAACGACTGGAGGTCACATCGTCGGGACGCCCGGTCTGAGTGATCGTGACCCGTTCTGTAGGCTCAGTATAGGGGCCGGTGGGTGTTGCCGGGTCGCCAAAGCTTACGCCATTTGAGCCAGTAAAGAAGACCAGACCGTCAGAATTTGTGAATTCTTGAGCCCAAGCAAGGTGAACGAAGTTGTGGACGGCGACAAATGCTACGCAGGTAGTGACGAGCGAACCAGCCATCGTCAGAGATCCCGAACGTCGCCGGCGTTGCTCGCTCAATAAAGTAAGGGAACAGCCTCGTAATGATGTGGATTGACGATAATGGGGTCCCCGCTCGGAATCCACGGCCTCTGCTTGCTACGAAGCCAAGCGTTCAGGGCGCTAGGGTGCTGCTGAGCGGTGAGGTTGGAGTGAATCTATAGATGTTGGATATGAGGGATGGGACCATCTTTAGTACGGCAAAGGCCGGCCAGCGCAAGTCAGGGAGCTAGCGACCAGTCCGCCTGCCAATCTCTGTGGATGGCAACAGGTCTCAGCACATCAGCATTTCACTGCCAGTGGGGAGGAAATAGCACGGCCCAGTAAGCTGAGTATGGTGGACCTTGGTCGCGTCGTTCAGCACTGTCCTCTTTTGCATGCGTTGCTTGTTCAGCACTCAGTATCCTAAATGAGCGTCTATGGAAGCCGTCAGACTTTCGTGCAAATACAGCCATTCCCTGCCTTCAGTCCTGCATCTTACAAGGCAGGCCAGTCTCGAAAAGCATACAGCATCTCATACCGTGCGCCATTCTAGGTGGTAGCTAGGCATCTGGTTGTAGGTACCTACCTACCTACCTAGGTACAGGTAGGTAGGTAGAGAATGATGTCTGGCACTGCGTTACGAGATATGACGTAATTTGCGAATGGGCAGGCTCGAACACAAGTCCCTTCTTGTTCCATTTCAACCGGGGCCAGGGCATGCACGACCCACATTAACGACACAGCACCACTCGGACACGGACGGCAGGCACAGCCGCTCCTCGGAGTTGTGGTTCTCGCCCCGAAGCAGCCCAACCAGGCGCAGAAGAGCAGTGAAGGTTAGGGGGAGCCCTGCCCCGGAACCACGCAAGCTGCAAGGCGATCTTGGGGAGGGGCAGAAAAATCCTATCTGGGAGGGAGACACGAGTCGTTCTAGACTGACTTGCGACTCCACCATGTGGCCGCATAGGTAGACTGGTGACGACCGTAGACGCGTAGCAGCCTATTGTTGCGCTACGGCGTGACCGTCGGCGGCCAACGCATCATCAGAGCTGCAGGTCCTCCACCTCGACAGACTAATGGAAGCTTTGTGGGCTGGCTAACACCTTTTTTTCCTCCCAGCTTGATTTTTTGCATGGAGGCTCAAGACATCGCAGGCCGTCTGGTATGATCGACAGGGCTGTGTCCAAGACACGGGGCCAGGGGAGAGTGGTGTAAGGTAGGTATATACGAGGCACCATTTTGCTGGGCCACCAACTTGATCTCGCGTCCTTGGTACAGCTCTGATCCTCCCCCTACCTTGTTCCCACTGCATTGGGTCAGCATTGGTCTCCTTGCGTCTGGGAAGAACAACCAGCGACCATCACAGCGTGCACAGCTTGAGCTGCCACGACCCCACCGGGCCTGTGGCTGAGCCGGTGCCGTCATACCTCCGCGACCGATTCTCCTTGCAAACGAGGAAAGGCAATCTTGCATTCCCGTTGGTAGCAAGCATCGCCTGACACCATGGCACGACGACGGAACAGTGTCATTATCGCTGCTGTCTGCTATCTGATTACAATCATCTTTCTCATTCTCGTGCTGATAGGGAATACGTCCAACAAGCCGGTCCTCAGAGATATCTTCTTCTTCCGTCTCGACGTCGCAAATGTCATTCCAATCTCCACCGCCGCCGATGCCACCCTCCTCAACACCAATGCCCGGACGCTAGGCCTTCACGATTTCTACCAGATCGGCCTATGGAACTTTTGCCAGGGATACAGCGATGAGTACGCCTCCAAGGCGCCTTTAGCGAAACGTGACAGGATTCTGCTGACAGGCCCTCGCGCAGAGGCGTCACCGAGTGCTTCAAGCCAGAGGCTCTCTGGTGGTTCAACCCGATCGAGGTGCTGACGAGCCAGCTCTTCACCGGCGCCGTCATCGCGCTGCCGCAGGAGGTGACGACGATCCTCACCGTCCTGCGCCTCGCCCAGCAGATCATGTTCGGCTTCTTCCTCTCGGGCATCTGCCTCGCCTTCGTCATGCTCCTCGTGTCGGCCGTCGCCATGCGCTCGCGCTGGTGGTCGCTGCCCCTCGCCATCTTCGCCTTTCTCGACGCCCTCCTCGTCACCGTCGCCAGCATCCTCGGCACCGCTATGAGCGTCGTCGCCAAGTACGCCCTCACTGCCCAGTCCGAGCTCAACCTACGCGCCAGCCTCGGCGCTCGCATGTTCGCCTTTATGTGGGTTGCCTCGACCGCGACCATTGTCGCCTTTTTCGTACACGCCATCATGGGGTGCTGCTGCCGCCGGCACCCGCTCGACGAGCGGCGCACGAAGATGGAGCCGACGCCCGACGGGAGCCAGGCCACCTCGGAACCGAAAGCCACGACATCGACGAGGCGGAGGACGGGCCCTGGTGCCTTTTCGGCATAGGAAGACAGAAAAGGAGATGGAGTGGCAGAGAACAAGAGCACACCGCACATTTCGACATGAGGCCACACGATACCGTTGCACACACCTGCTAAAGCATAGATAAAGAAGTAATGAATTGTAATCATTGATAGAAGTCCTCTCCGGGACAGTTGACATAAGAAAACGAAGAATAACTCCGTGGACGCCGAATTCCGATGTCCCGCTATGCTAAAATGATTTGAACGCCATGATTCCACCTCCGTCAAAAAGGGTTTGCTCTTCGAGCCCCTCGCATCACCAGGATAAAAAAAAAGCCTAGAGGAGCGAATGACACTCAGGACAGGCCGACGCTCTCAAAGTCGCGCATCATGACGGCCATTTGCGCTCGCTTCGCAGCCTCGGCGATGAGGGTGAAGTCGCGGAGGAAGGCGTCGGTTGATGGTGCCTGGCCGGCCAAGGGGGCGGGTGGTGGCGCCATGGACGCGGCGGGCGACTGTTGTGTAGAAGAAGAGGAGGAGGAAGACTGGCTGGGTGCGTTCATGACGGGCGACGGACGTCTGAAGGCTGGGTGGAACACGTTGATTGGGGGTTTTTTTTCGTTTCTTTTCTTGCTTTCTTTGGGCTCAAATGGTGGACTGCCGATTTGAAGTCTGCGGATGAAGAGGTGGGAAGGGGTGGGGTGATGGAATGCCAGTGAAGTAAAAGATTGGGGGGGTCGATATCCGGGGGAGAATGCCGATCACTGTGGACTCTTTAAGACCTGAGGCTGCGGGGAGGAGCAGGGAGATCGCGATCTGGCCGAGCCGAGGACGTCGCTGCCGCCAGGTCGCAACGAAGGAGAAGGATGATGTGTGGGGGGCAAGAGCGCCGGTTGGTGCTGTCGCGTGCCGGAAGCGTTAGGCTGAATTGCGAGGAGCGTCGCAAGTGTGGGATGTGGTTGGATGGGCGTGGGATGGATGTTGGTCGACTGTATAGTTATGGGCAGAGATTATGCAGTGTTTCTTGTTCTGCGTCTCCCTTTGGAGGTCGAATGTCGCAGTGGGAGAGTGACCGAGGCGTACGAGTGGCAGCCAGGAGTGAGAGGGAGGGGGGAGTAAGTGTTGACAGGATGAGACGTGACTTGGAATTGCGAATGTGGTGGACGCGGGGTGCGCGGGTACAAGTAGAGACAGGGCCGGCTCGGGCGTTTGGGTTTGGGTTTGGCGTTGGCGTTGGCGTAGGAGGTGCACGAGAAAAAGTGCACTTTGAGAAATAGGTTGGCAGGCGTGGGAGTGATGATGTGATGGGCTGCTTCGGGACGGTAGTGTGTGTGTGTGTGTGTGCCCCCCGGTCAAGCTGGTCTTGATGGTTGGCTGACGTTTGGCACTTTTGGAGAAACGACTTGGAGTAAGGGCAAGACGTATGTGTCGCAGGGTGGATGAGAGGGCAAGAGTTGTCAGGATCGAGATTCAAAGGTGCGGAGGGAGAGTAGAGAAAAAGTTCGGGGTTTCGGAGGGGCATGGAGAGAGCATAAATCATCTCGTGTGCGCATCCAAGTCGTTCCGAGTCAAGTCGGCTCATCTCCACGATGCACAGTACATGCTACGGCAGATAGGGAAGGATGCGATAATAGGCCCGCATGAAGATGAGCATGGCGGCATGGCAGGGCGGCATGACATGGCGTGAACACACCAAAGGCCCAGAGACCCGCGGCTGTATCGTCGGCGGCATCCTTTTTTTCTCGTGGACCGATCCATCTGACAGTGGCCGGAAGACCAATGACACGATGCGACAAGAGGTCCTTGGGGGGTCCCGATGACGATGGATGGCCTGGGGTCGAGGGGAATGCTTGCGGCAAAGGCCGCCAGACGGGGGACCTGTTGTACCGGTACTTCCGATGCACCCCACTCTCGCCATGGGCTCGGCATTCTTCTCGTGCCAAGGGTCAAAAGCATGGGCGGATGGACGGCTCGAGCGACCGCTTCAGGGCGTTGGAGGCAACAAAGCCGTCGTGACATGTGGGGTGAAGGGCGGTGGAAGGTCGTCCGACAAAGTATCGAGACTTGGGGTCCTTTGGACTCTCATTTTGCCTACGCGGATAATTCTCCGCAATTGGCTCCCCGCTCGGCATCGCTGCTTTACTACGGCCTTCTTCCCGGCCATTTGACCGAGGCGTGAGCAAGGGTATGCCGAAGGCTGTGAGGGCACGTTTTCCGAGGCAACGCCGCACAAACGTCGTTGGCGACGGTTAAAGCAGCCCCGGATTGCTATCATGTCCCCGACTCAGGAGCCCCCCGCCAAGCTCGTGCTTCGCGTGGAATTGACACGGAACATGTCGGAAGACAGGACGTTCAGCGTTCAACGCTGGGGCAGCTTCGGTCAGAGTATTCCCGTCGAATGATGCGGCCGTTGTTAGGGTTCGGTGTTAGATTTGTCCTATGCCTGTCTGATCTTCCTTCCCCTCTTCCGCACCCGCCTGCCTATCTGTCCAACTGTTGCATGTTGCCCACCTGGGGCCCCTCTCTCTCGTCCGGGCTGTCAGGGCGAGCACGAGCACGTGCCTCGTAGGATGACCGTCGGCCCTGGCGCCGACCGACCTACCATTCTTCTTCGTTGCCACATGGAAGCCATTTCGAAGGTCCTGCGTCCAGCCTCTTTGTTCCCACAACGAACATGGATGTGGAGAGCTGGATGGGTCGATGGATGCCGAGGTGTCCCCCCCCTTCCCCTCGCGCTCGTCCTCCTCCTTCCCAAAACCGGCAACTGCATCCGCATGACGATGAGACCCTGAGCTGTAGGCGCAGGCGCGGGCACACGGATCGAGAAGGAATCGAACCTGTGCCTGGTGGGACGGGCTCTCGTCGTCGTCGTCGTTGTCGTCGACGAGCCCAGGTAGCGCCGGAATGTGCTGCTCCTCGGTTTCGGAGTCAAGTCATCTCAGGCTAGACAGATTTGCGTTGGTTTGGGCTATCGGCCCTGATGTTCATAGCGTTAGATTGCACGGCGATATTGTCGTGAGGGGCAAGAGGCAGCAGAAGACGAAACGGGCAGCAGGGTAAAAGGACAGGCAGGGTCAGCCAGGCGAGCAGGGCAGGGGAGGAGACGGGGAAGGAGAAGGAGGGGGGCGGGCTGCAGAAGCAGGTGCAGGCAGGCAAGCAAGCGCCTTGAGAGATGGTGATGGCACAATCGTGGCACAATCATCGTACAATCGTCGTTGCCATTTCCCCGACGGCGGATAAGGTCGTGGGGCAGGAGCCACTGATCGGTGGTCATTCCCGCTCACCGTTCACCGCCCCATGCCCAGAGCAGGAAGGACGAGGGGACGACGGCTGCACAGCGCAAGTACATGGTAGCGGAGCAGGAACCAACCAACATGACGAGACCGCGAGATCGTTGTCAGGAACGGCGGCCAACAACCCCCACGTGGGCCCCGGGAAGCAGGTCCCGTCTCCGCCTCCGCCTTGGTTCAGCAAGCCGTCCAGGAAGCTGCTCAGCAAGCTGCTCAAGAAGGGCAGGCGCTGCCTTATGTCAGCAACGGAATGCCGGCCTCTGTGCCACCGATGCTGCCAGGGCCAGGGTCGTTCCTGTGCAGGCTCAGGCACAGACAGCCGTAGGTACAGACAGCCGTAGGCGCTGGCGCAGACGCAGGGTGCAGCTCCGACTTGACAACATCGCAGAGTCTCGTCCACCAATCCCATCTGCATTCGCCCTCGCCTTCAAGGGCCTCGACTCGCCGCCTCCAGCTCGAACCTGGACCCCTAAACGCACCTCTCATGCCATCTGGCCCGTCTGCCGCTCCTCCGCCTCCGGCTGCAACCACATCGCAAGCCCCTCATCTGCCCTAGCCTAACTAGGCGACTGGCAAATCGCTGCACGCTCTTCCTGCACCTCCCATCGCTCAAACGAGTCGGTCAAGGTCAGGGTCAGGGTCGACACTAGTATCATCACCAGCATCAGCGTCGCCATCAGTGTCAGGGTCAGGGTCAAGCCTCCATTCGACGGGCCACCTTTCCCCCCTACCCTTCCGCCTTTGCGCCCACCCTCCCCCTCGGCCCATCATCCGAGCTGGGCTGCATACAGGCCGGCGACAAATCTGCGATCTGCGACCTGTCCTGGCTGCCCTGCCCTGAGCTAGCCAAGACGCAGAGAGCCTCCCTCCTGCTCCTTCTGCTCCTCCTGCTCCCCCTTCTCCTCCTCCGCCGCCGCTACCACCATGCCCGAACCCACACGGGCTCCGCCGGCCCCGACAAGCCTGCTCTCCGTCCCTTCTCCCATCGCGAACCTCTTCAAACGCGTGCCCCTGGCCGTCTACCCGGCCAACGACCTGCCTCGGAGATCGCCCTCTGCCGACACGACGCGCGAGCTGCCTATACTCTACATCTTTACGACCAAGGAGGGTGCCCAGGTTGGCAGGCCGAGTTTTAACCCGTCGTGTCTCAAGTGGCAGGTTGGTGCCCCCTTGGTTTTTGCGTCCCCCTTTGCCTGTCCTCTGGTTCGCTAACATTGCTGCCAGACTGTGCTGAAAATCGCCCGCTTGCCCTTCACGACGACACCGTCTACGAACCACGCATCGCCTTCTGGCGCCCTGCCCTTCCTCCTACCTCCTCCCTCGCCGACCCGCTCCAACAACTTGCCCATCCCCGCCGGCGACGCCCTCCTCAACCACGCCGTATCCCACTCGCCGGCGAAAACACCGCCCACTCTCGCCGACGACCTACCTCCCCGCCAGGAAGCGTACCTGGCCCTCCTACACGCCCGCCTACGCCCGGCCTTCCTCCACGCGCTGTACGTCAACCCGATCAACACGCCTCTCCTCCAGGCCCTCTACGTCAACCCCTGCACGTCAAACTCGATTGTGCGTGCGACACTACAGCACCAGGTCCGTTCCGCCGCCGAGGCCGAGATTCTGGCGTCCACCAAGGCTGCCTACATAGATGCCGACGCGTTATATCAGGATGCCGTTGCCGGCTTCGCAGCGCTCGAGACGCTGCTGAGCGGTACAGCGGGTGGAGAAGGCTTCTTTTCTGGCGGCGACGAGGCTGGACTGTTCGACGCCGAGGTGTTCGCGTATACGGGTGTCATCCTCGACGAGAGGCTCGGCTGGGTCGACCGCCGGCTTGCCGAAGCGCTGAGGGCCTCTCCAGGGCTCGTCAGGCATCGGGAGCGCATGATGGTGACATATTTCCCAGAGAAGGCCTAGCTCTTGACACGATCTACTTGCATGGGGAAGAGTAAAATGTATAACAGAGACCGGCCCGACTGTGCCGTATAGTTGCATACCTAGCCTAATATCAACTCATAAAGCTGCTCTCTTCCGTCCCGATGAACTGCTGGTTTTTCTGGGTTAGACGACAAGTCTAGGTGCACACAGGCCGTTTGGGGCACTTTTTAATGGCTTGGTTGGTTGCATGAATGTAACGAAGGTGCACAATTTTAAAGTGCCGCGTAAAAGCTGGGTGCAAATTGAGTGGGAAAGCCGGGGAGCTTTCCGGATATCCACGCATGGTTACGACGTAGCACTCACTCATCAAGTCATGAGTATCAGAAAATTTGAATGGGCAA